TGGCTTAATATATTATCATGTTTTGTAAGCATAGGCTTTCAAAGCCTAGGGTTAAAAAACAAATAAACAAAAGATTCTTTCAAGCTTAGGCTTAAACTTAAAATTTCTTAAACTTAAAAAAAAGTCGACAGAAAAGTAGTCCAACTAAACCTTCCAATAAAAATCAGTAAGAATCCGATGACAAGAAAAACATGACAAATAGAAGCCTTACAGGCTAAGGACTTTCGACGAACCCCCCCCCCTTTTCTTAATGAAACGAAAAGATCTAGCTTTAGTGATGGAAGACAAAAGCGACGAAACTTGTCGATTCGAAAAGATTCAGCCACCCCTACTCTCACATTAAAAAATGTTAAAAAATGTCGAAAATTAGACGAGGAATCGCCGTTGGGAAAGTTACGTAATTCGGGATTTAAATGAATTTCAAATTTAAAAAGAAATGTTCTAACCTACCCTACCCTACACTACCCTACCTTACCCCACCCTACCCTACCCTACCCTACCCTACCCTACCCTACCCTACCCTACCCTACCTTACCCTACTCAACCTTAACCCTACCCTACCCTACCCTACCCTACCCTACCCTACCCTACCCTACCCTACCCTACCTTACCCTACCTTACTGTACTTTACTTTGTCCTTATCATTACTTTATTTGTAGGCTTTACTGTAACTTATATTCTAGCCTTACCTTAACCTTATCTTAACCGTTGTATTCTTTGCTCATACTGTAACTTTGGGGTCAATGAAGAATAAGCACTTCATAAAGATTGAGACCAAATGTACCATTAATCTATCCCAACCCTTTATTATTTACCCTTACTGTAACTTCTAACACAACCTTACTTTAGCCCAACCTTTTTTAGTTTCTAGTTTTCACCGTACCTTCTATCTATTCCACACTTATCTTAGTTATACTTTAGTCGTTTTTTCCTCCTCTGACTTCACTTGGATTTCCTTTCCCTTCCCCCCCAAAAATTTTTGAAAAAGTTGAACGTGGTCCCCCCTGTGGATTTTTTCGATCTGCGCCCCAGATTAGGCCCTGCTTGCTTTTAAAACCTTTCATTTGCCATTCAAAACACTACATTGGCCTTTCAAACTCAACCATATGCTCTACGTTAACACAATTTTAAGTCAACTTTACTTTCATGTTCTACCCTATCCTATCTCAACTTACTCTACCTTGTCTTTTCTTAACTTCAAACCGTTTAGAAAAAATTAAAAAGTAGCTTAAGTCTGGAAAAACTGACAAAGCTTAGCTCCAGAGAAGCTTCAATCTTCAAATCATGACTCAAATATCAAAAATAAATTTGCATAATGAAGCAAAAGTCGCGCGCTTAATTGACTCATCACCCCCCCCCTCCCGAAACACTTTCCCTCTCGATTCGCCCGCTTTCAGCCTCTGGCAAACGAACAAAACAAAACAACGTATATTATTTGCGTTAAAGACGCGCGCGACATTTTCACAATATAAGACAAACTTTACCGCATTATGTACACAAACCGTGAGAGAACAACACCATGTTCTACATGGTATAATACGAAGCGCGGTGTGAACGCAGGTAAATGTCAACAAGATTAATTACTGTTAAGTTGTATAAAGGGGTATAGATAAGATGTATAGGGGTATAGACGAAGTGCGTTGCCCTTATGTTATGGTAGCGTAAAGTCATACTGTGGAGAAGAAGGCGTTTCATCCTGTAGTAAGATTTTAAAATGAATTAAAATGTATTTTATGGTAGTGTAAGGTCATACTGTGGAGAAGAAGGCGTTTCATCCTGTAGTAAGATTTTAAAATGAATTAAAATGTATGTTATGGTAGTGTAAGGTCATACTGTGGAGAAGAAGGCGTTTCATCCTGTAGTAAGATCTTAAAATGAATTAAAATGTATGTTATGGTAGTGTAAGGTCATACTGTGGAGAAGATGGCGTTTCATCCTGTAGTAAGATCTTAAAATGAATTAAAATGTATTTTATGGTAGTGTAAGGTCATATACTAGAGAAGAAGGCGTTTCATCCTGTAGTAAACTCTTAAAATGAATTAAAATGTATGTTATGGTAGTGTAAGGTCATACTGTGGAGAAGATGGCGTTTCATCCTGTAGTAAGATCTTAAAATGAATTAAAATGTATTTTATGGTAGTGTAAGGTCATGTACTAGAGAAGAAGGCGTTTCATCCTGTAGTAAACTCTTAAAATGAATTAAAATATATGTTATGGTAGTGTAAGGTCATACTGTGAAGAAGAAGGCGTTTCATCCTGTAGTTAAATCTTAAACTGAAACAATACGATTTGTCGTTCTAATTGGTATAAAATACGGAAGGTTTTGTATCATAATTCTGGCCTTAAACAAACTAAACCAATGTTCAAGTCAAAGATTTTGTTCGTTATTCAGCAAACACTAATTGGGCCGGCTTTACCGACAAAATTTTTAAGATAATTAAAATATTTCCTACCAAACCTATCAATTATGAGCTAACCGACTTAAATGATGAAGTAATTAAGGGTCGTTTTTGTACATAGGAGCTTTTTTTGAGTGATAAGGGCACTGCCTACCGCATCGAATAAATTTTTAAAAAAAGAATGGTTATAAAGAAACCATCGTATAGTAGCTAAGCCTTATTAGTTAATTCATGGAGTCGATTATAATTATATTCAACACGGTTTATTAATTAGTTAGTATCGGTTAGTTAACAAACACAATACAAATAATTTACAAGTCAGAGACGTCTTTTTTACGAAGAATTGGTGATGGTTTAAGTTGGGGTTTCTGTAGCTTCAGGAGGAGGAGGAGGGTTATTAAAAGACATGTTAAAAGGCGGTGGGACAACTAAAGGCTGCGAGTCTACCAGATCCTCCGTCTTTTCAGTACAGGGCGTCCCGAGAAATTTGGTCGCTAGTAATAATTCATAACTTTGAAACTAAGCCTTCTAAAAATGCCAAATTGATTGCTCTTGGTGGTTCAGGGCCTACATATCGATTGTCCTGTATATATATAGACAACGTTTCCTGCCGTCAAGCTCTTTTTTCAAAGTGTGATTTTATAATTAACAATAGAGGTACCAAAATTAGGTTGAGACGGTGTACATTGACATCCCCGGGCTTTTACTATTTACGTGTGTTATATAACTTATACTGGCTTCTAAGGTTACGTGTTTATACTCATCATTTGGATGTTTGAAACGAGGGGCCTTTGTGATAGTGACCACATCTCCTGGGTCGATTTCAGTCACCAACTTTTTATGTTTAGCAGATATTATCATAACTTTTATTAGCTGCTTGAACGCATTGGCACCATTACGCCATCCATATACATTGTCTTGGGGCTCATTGTGTAGAACAGCATCAAGAAATACCAACGACTCATAGGACCTGTAAACACTACTTGGAAAACCTGATTAAAATAAATAAAAACCAAAAATACAATATAGATTATGTCTTGATACTTGAAAAAACAAAAACTTACTTGTTCAGGTTGACCATCCGTTTGAATTTATCTCAACTTTCTACGGCTCCAACCATTGTGATTTCAGAATTTGTATCGGCGTATTGTTGCTGCTTAGCAAAGTCCTTGAAGAGTTTCGTTTCTTCAATTACGTCTCCAACTTAAATTTTTCGTTCGTTTATGCTGAATTGATGTAGTTAAATCATTGTCCGAATATGATTTATGAAACATTTATTTTTTACATCTAATGCTATAAGACTATCTAAAATACAATTAAATAGCACTACTCGATAATGGTTACAATAACATAAGGGTATAAAGACACAAAATAATAAGGGAACAACAATCTAGAAGAAAATACAAATCTTGCCGCCTCGCGGCTCCGTCCTCTCTTCTCTTACTGACCTAAGTCCCGATCGCATATCGCGGCTCTTTTGGTTAATTGTGGCCACTGCCACTTACTATTTTGATTAAGGTACACGGTGTGGTAATTCTCGTGTTCATCATATCCACACACAAAACCATCGCTTTTAACATACGGCTTCTCCAGCTTGGCAACCGTGATGGTATAAGTCTTCATTGATCTTGGACCTTCCTCAGGGAATGTCAAAAAATTCCGTTTTTGGTCACAAGTCATCGCCATTGTGGTAACGGAAAGTGGTATGAATAAGATAATGCGAGCGTATGAATATTCAGGACAGATAATGCGCAATGTAACTTGACGCCCTCTTCTAAGCCCCGCCTACTCATTACTGTAACAATCCATAAATTGGGTAATACGTATTGTCTACATAAGGTTATTGTGAAGTGCGGTTACGCACGTTTTTTTCTTGAAGTCATGGTTTCTGTTAGCTTAAACGAATACTTGAAAAGACTCTATGACGCATATGTCAATGAGTTAGAGCCGATCCTCATTCGAAAGATCAACTTAAATGTAACTGCGCTAAAATATTGGAATGAACATACAAAGAAATTGATTTTTGATCATTATGTATAACTTAACGTTTAGTTGACTCTACCCTACCCTAGCCTACTCTACCCTAGCCTACTCTACCCTAACTTAACTTACTTTATACATCTTATCTATACCCCTTTATACGACTTAACAATAATTAATCTTGTTGACATTTACCTCCGTTCACACCGCGCTTCGTATTATACCATGTAGAACATGGTGTTGTTCTCTCACTAAAAAAAATTTTGGCTGGGCCGGGCTAGGCTTGAAGCAAAACTTATATTGGACCGGGCCTAAAAAATTATCCCGGCCGGTTTCTTATGTCTAGACCAAGGGCACAAATCAGAAATATCGTCTACGATTTGCCAAACCTGTATACAAGTCTTAGTACTCGGTGTCGACATAAAGAACCCGCCGTAATTTGCCTGTAGTAACCTGTAAAAAGTGGCGGGTTCTTTATGTCGGCACCTAATATATGATTATTCTACTATCTAGCGACTTTGTACTCATTGAATAGTATTTATTGTACAGTTGTTCGTTATAAAGGCGTTTTTGTTATAGAAGAGTTCGTTATACATGACTTCCACCATATTTAACATTAAGTTATCGTTTGTAGATCTTAACTGGGACTCCTTGACTTGGCTGTAGGATAATCTCGAACGAAGGCCAGTTTTCATGGAATTTAAATTTGTCAGCTTCTATTTTGAAATTCAAGACGAAGTAGGCTATTGTGATCTTCATTTCGTATTGCGCTAGACGTTGGCCTGAAAAATTTAAAACTCGTTTTTTGGTTAAAATACGGAATCTGTGAACGGCAATTTTTCAGTTTTAAAATTGAAGTTGTTAGCTCTGGCTTAGTCAGGTGTAAACACATGGCAATTAGGCATATGCTTAGTAAGTTTAGGCTAAGTAGGCTTAGGCTTAATAGACATAGGCTTGGTAGGCCTAGTCTTAATAAGCTTAGGTTAAGTTAGCTTAGGCTTTTGGCTTGATAAGCTTAAGCTTAGTAAGCTTAGGCTTAGTAAGCTTAAGCTTTGTAGGCTTAGGCTGAGGTTAAGTTAGCTTAGGTTTTTGGCTTGATAAGCTTAAGATTAGTAGGCTTAGTAAACTGAGTCTTAGTAGGCTTAAGCTTAGGTTTAATAGGCTTAGTCTTATTAGTCTTAAGCTTAGTAGAATCAGGCTTAGTAGGCTTAAGCTTAGTAAGCTTAGGTTAAGTTAACTTTGGCTTTTGGCTTGATAAGCTTAAGATTAGTAGGCTTAGTAAACTGAGTCTTAGTAGGTTTAGGCTTAGTAGGCTTAAGCTTAGGTTTAATAGGCTTAGTCTTATTAGTCTTAAGCTTAGTAGAATCAGGCTTAGTAGGCTTAAGCTTAGTAAGCTTAGGTTAAGTTAACTTTGGCTTTTGGCTTGATAAGCTTAAGATTAGTAGGCTTAGTAAATTGAAGCTTAGTAGGCTTAGGCTTAGTAGGCTTAAGCTTAGTAGTCTTAGGCTTAGTAGGCTTAAGCTTAGTAGACATAGGCTTAGTAGACTTAGGCTTGGTAGACCTAGTGTTAGTAAGCTTAGGTTAAGTTAACTTTGGCTTTTGGCTTGATAAGCTTAAGATTAGTAGGCTTAGTAAACTGAAGCTTAGTAGGCTTAGGCTTAGTAGGCTTAAGCCTAGTAGTCTTAGGCTTAGTAGGCTTAGGCTTAGTAGGCTTAGGCTTAGTAGAGTCAGGCTTAGTAGGCTTAAGCTTAGTAAGCTTAGGTTAAGTTAACTTTGGCTTTTGGCTTGATAAGCTTAAGATTAGTAGGCTTAGTAAACTGAAGCTTAGTAGTCTTAGGCTTAGTAGGCTTAGGCTTAGTAGGCTTAGGCTTGGTAAGCTTAGGCTTAGTAGGCTTTGGCTTACTAGGCTTAGGCTTAGTAGGCTTAAGCTTAATAGGCTAAGCTTAGGCTTAGTAGGCTTAGGCTTAGTAGGCTTAGGTTTAGTAGGCTTAGGTTTAGGCTTAGGCTTAGTAGGCTTAGGCTTAGTAGGCTTAGGCTTGGTAAACTTAGGCTTAGTAGGCTTTGGCTTAGTAGGCTTAGGCTTAGTAGGCTTAAGCTTAATAGGCTAAGCTTAGGCTTAGTAGGCTTAGGTTTAGTAAGCTTAAGTTAAGTATGCGTTGACTTCTGCTTAGCAGAATTGGGCCTAAACTTAGTAGGCTTAGACTTAGAATTTTTACTTACCAATACAATTTCTCATGCCACTACTGAACGGTATATAAGCATTGCTCTCCAGCTCTTTGTTACCCAAAAAGTTGTTCGGATCAAAGTCCATATGATTGGGGAAGACATTCTGATTGTGATGCATAAAGTATGGCGCGATAGTAACCTGAGCCCCCTTGGGTAATGTATATCCAGCCATTGGTAGGTCTTCGACCAGCTCTCTTTGTACGAATGGTACTGGAGGGAACATACGAAGGCTTTCCTTGATTACTGCGTCTAAATACTTTAGATTCTTCTGTTTAATCGATGATAAGTCAGCTTTGTCATCAAAATTTGAAGCCAGTTCTTCGTACAAGGTCTCCTGAATGTCAGGATGACATGCCAATGACCATAAGGTCCAAGCAATACCATGTGAAGTGGTGTCATGACCAGCGAACATGAAGGTATCCACCTCTTCACAAATCTCAGTAAACGAAACTTCACCTTTATCGTACTCATTCAGTAGCAGATCCAAGAAGTCTGGCCTAGGCTTAGTGTCGTTGTACTCTTGACGTTGCTTTATACGATCTTCTACTACGGTCTTGGTTTGATTCTTCAGCACGTTTAAGGCCTTTTGAGTATCCGCTTCGTAGCCACAGTAGTTCCAAACGAGTGGGATGGCTATATATGGCTTCATGACCTTGATGTAGGCTAGGTGGTTGAACTTATGAACTGCTTTGACATAGTCTTGCTCTGAGTTCTCCAAGGCATTGATTTGACAACCCATAGCCGCGTCGATTATAACATCCAAAGCACACAACTTGATTAGAGGGTAGAGGTCGATTTGGTTGTTTTCTGAAGTTTTGCGGTCAATTACTTCAATCAAGTGCTAAAATAAGTTAAAATTACGGTAAGATTGAGTAAAAGAAAAGCTTTAAGGCTAAAACAAGATATGGCAGGCAATGAAAGGGCAGGGTAAACTAACGTCAAGGCAAAGGCAAGCCAAAGGTAAGGGTTGGGCAGGACAAGAGAGGGCAGAGTTAGGCAGAGCTGGGTAGAACAAAGCAGGGCACGTAGGCCAAGCCAAGCTAAGCACATACAAGCCAAGGCAACGCCAAGACCAAAGAAAGCCACACCAAGGTTAAGGCAAGGCACAGGCAACCCAAGCCAAGCCAAGCCAAAGCTACAGGCAAAGCTACAGGCAAGGCACAGGCAAGGAACAGGCAAGGCACAGGCAAAGCACAGGCAAAGCAAGGGTAGGCTAGGCTAGGATAAATATTCTTACCTTAGAATGAACATCAATAGTCTCGATATATTCATCAAGTTTACCAAAGTGAAAAGCCGGTGTTAAAAGTTTTCGGTTCTTGTGCCATCTGGGTTCATTACTAATTGTAATCAACCCTTTGCCTAGCCATCTCTGTATGAAATTGTATGTTTCTCCTTTGTTAATCTCCACAGTGCTTGACGTTATGGCACGAACTGCATCACTGTCCAGTGGGTAGATAAAGACATGGTTTAGGAACCAGAGACGAAGAACTTGGTTGCCTTTGGCCATTTCGGCTGTTGCTAGGCCAAGGAAGTAGTCACGGTAGTCTAAAAATAGGTTTTGTTACCTAAAAGTTTGGTCTTGGGGGTTTACCCTACCCTACCCTAACCTACCCTACCCTACCCTACCCTACCCTACCCTACCCTACCCTACCCTACCCTACCCTACCCTACCCTACCTCACCCTACCCTACCCTAACCCACCCTACCTTTCGCTTCCTTGGGAAACTGTAATATATTTCCAAACAGCCAATTAGCCTTAGGGCCTGGGATATTCCTAGTCATCCACACATGTCTAGCATACTTGGCAAGAGACGGTCCAACATATTTTAGCAAGTAAATAATAATAACAGCAAAAGCAATAGCGAATAGAGAAGCCATAGTTAGTATACCTTCCAAGAGTTGTCACTTGGAGAAGGTTTTCAGTTTAATCTGATGGAAAAACAAATAAAAGGTGTTTATCAACTGAAAAAACAATTACCAACGGTGTTTAACTTTGGTTTTATTCACGTTAAGATGCTTTATGTGTTGACTGGACTTGTATTAAGTTGTAGAAAAAGTTTTGTCGTTTTTTAGCAATGTTTTGTTATATAAAAAGCTTCAAGTCTTTTTTAAAGCTTTATCATAATATATTTTAACATAGAAATAAAGTCATGTCGTTTTTTTCAATGTTTTGTAATATAAAAAACGACAAAGATTTTTAGACCCTCTACAACAATAAATTTTTAAATAAAAATAAAGTCTTGTCATTTTTAGCTATGTTTTTCAAGTTGAAACGACAAGGCTTTTTAAAGTTCTATCGTAATATATTTTAATGTAGAAATAAAGTCTTGTCGTTTTTTAGCTATGTTTCGTTACATAAAAAGCGACAAGACTTTTTTAGAAGCTCTACTACAATAACTTATAAAATATAAATAAAAAATTTTTGTCGTTTTTTAACAATTTTTTGTTTTATAAAAAGCGACAAGACTTTTTAGAAGCTCTACTACTATAAATTATAAAACGAAAGTAAAGTCTTGTCGTTTTTCAACTTTGTTTTGCTATAGAAAAAACGTCAAAGCTTTGCAATACATTAAAAACCCCAAACAAAAGTTTTGTCGCTTTTTATCTTTAGTTTGCCCTTCAAAAAGCGACAAAACTTTTAAAAATTCTAATATAGATCTAGACAAAACTTAAATTAACAAAAGTGGTTTATATTGATGTAGACAAACTAAACCTTTAATTAATTAAAACTTTTGCCGTTAATCGACCACAAAACACAAGGTTATTAGAAAAAGAAAAAGGTGTACCTTATCACTGTTTTTAAACTTAAAAGAGAATGTGGTTTGTGAGTAAAGAGGCTTTTAAGACAGTGATATTAACTTAAAAGTTTAACTAACTTAGCTGTTTTTAATTTTAATTAGTTTAAAATTGAACTGACATATTGAACATCACGTACAATTTGAGGAACCAGAAGTGATCAAAGATGCTCTACTACAATATTTTGAACATTTTTCGGTTAGGTTTAGCTTAGAGCCTTAGTCCAGAACCCTAGTCCAGAGCCCTAGCCCAGAGCCTTAGCCCAAAGCCCTAAACCAGAACCCTAGCCCAGAGCCCTAACAGAGAGCCCTAGCCCAGAGCCCTAGCCCAGAGCCCTAGCCCAGAGCCCTAGCCCAGAGCCCTAGCCCACAGCCCTAGCCCAGAGCCCTAGCCCAGAGCCCTAGCCTAGAGCCCTAGCCTAGAGCTCTAGCCCAGAACCCTAGCCCAGGCCCTAGCCCAGAACCCTAGCCCAGGCCCTAGCCCAGAACCCTAGCCCAGGCCCTAGCCCAGAACCCTAGCCCAGGCCCTAGCCCAGAACCCTAGCCCAGGCCCTAGCTGAGAGTCATAGATCAAAGCCCTAGTTACAGTTTAATCGCTAGTTTTCGAATTGTCCTTAGACATCGTTATAGCCGTAGCTAAAACACTAGCTCAAATCCTAGCTCTAGAGTTAGCTCTAGCTTTTTAAATTTTAGTATTTACATTATCCTTTGTCTACGCCCTGTCTTCTTTAGCCCGTGCCGTAACTTACGCTACTTTTTACTGCGATACAAGCCTTAGGTTTTAATCTTACTCTTGTTTGTTTTAATGTTTACTGTTAGTTTTTAATTGGCCTTTATCTTTTCTTAACTTTACCATAGCCATAGCTAAGCCTGAACTTTCTAAGCATTCCTAAATCTATTCATACTGCTCTTGAGCTCACTAAATTTAAAATTTGATTGCTTAGTCTTATTCGTAACCATAGACATAACTATAACTATAACATAAAGTATTTTTCTAAATTTTCTTTTTTTCTGTTTTTAAAATTTTAAATTTACAACAAAACTTCGAAAACTTGAAATGTGTTGGATTTTATTAAACAAAGCATGTACAAGATGAAAGAGATAAATACAATTACAGGAAGCCGAACGCATTCCCGTACCGGCCATATGATGAACCAGCATTTGCAAAACTACCGTATGGATTGGAATAGCCACCGCCTAGGCCACCACCAAATGGCGATAGAATACTGCCTGATGCACTACTGTCATATTGGGCATTTACTGTCGAAACAAGAACAAAAACAACTAACAAGGAGAAAAGAAGTGAGAAGGGCGACCTCATTCTGTGCTGAAAATAATTGAAATTAGAAGGGTTTTTTTTAAATAAAGATTTAAAATTTTGAAGAAATTTAAAAGTTATGAAAGCACGGTAATATTTTAATAACGTTACACGTCAAACCGAAACGTGAAATCAGAGAGTAAAATAGACGTTTTGTTTAGCGCATAAAAAAAAACAGAGCGTGCATAGAAAAAGCGAACGAGAGAGCAAAAAACCGAGAGAGCGCCACGCAAACAAAGGGAGCGGTTAGACATTTTGATATTTCACTCATTTCTATTAGTTTGGTTTGACGTGCGTTACCAAAAAAAAACAATTTAATATAAAAAAATCAAAAACAAGAATTAACACAAAGTCATTTTAAAAAGTATCAAAAACCTATATCTCTACCTTTTAATCTTTTTTAACCACAAAATGTGTACTTTCTCGTGTTCTTCCACTTACCCTATCTTAACTACTCTACCTACAACTTAGCCCTACTATAGTTTAAACTAGTCCTAACTCAAATGTAGATTGAACCCAAACCTTTTCCCTATTAAAGCTTAACCTAACCTTAGCCCTATCGCTTAAAACTAGCACTAGCCCTAGCCATACTATGGTTTGAATTAGTCCTAAGCCTAGCTCTAGCTGTAGCCAGAGCCGGGCGGGGACTTTCGGCCTGGAGGCGGAGGTCAAAAAAATCCACAGGAGGGACCACGTCCCCCCACCACGCGCTCTTGGCTCTTGCTGTAGCCATAATTTAAGTCTAACCTAGCCTTACAATAGCAGTATTCTTTCTTTAGCTTATCTCTACCGTAATTTGCACATTAATTTTGAACACTGTTTTGCCTATCTTGTATCCTACCCTAGCCTTAGTCCTACCCTTAGAATCCTACCCAGCTCTGACTATTTCCATTTAACCCTAACTTAAGACCTACAGTAACTTTGCTTTACATTACTTTAATTTAAACCTTATCTAATTTCATTCGAAACAAAGTAATTTCAGTTAAATACTTACCCTACCTCATAACTTTACGGTAGCACTACTGTACTCTTAACATATAATCTGATTCAGCCGTACTCTAGGCTAACCCAATTCTTATTCTAGCATTAATTCTCTTTGCTTTCTCATTTTTGCTAACTCTAACCTTCTCATCTCTCTACCTCATCATACTTAAATTTTTTTGAAGACCAACATAAGTTTACTTTATTACACACCTTTTTAAACAACTTTGATACCTCTCCCAACCACGCCATAACCATCACCCTTTCCCTGCCCATGACTGATCCATACTAACTACCAAAGACTGTAATAATCGCGAAAAGCCTGGTTAAAAACAAGTCAACACATTTTTACACTGTCCATACATCATGTTGACAATGGCAATCAAATACGAAAGTGTAATGTAAGAAAAACGTCAAAAAAATTTCAAAACACTCGTTACAGCGTTAATTTGTTTGTGTAGATGATCGGCTGTAATAATAGCGATAAGCGGCGTTTCCCATCGACAAATTCTTGTGTTTTCGATAGACAGGTAAGGCAATTAGTGAACTAAATCGTAGAACATTGATACGTTCCAGAAGGGTCTTTACTTGACGATGTTAAACTATAGACATACCCTACCCCACCCTACTTTACCCTACCCTACCCTACCCAACCGTAACCTACCCTACCCTACCCTACCCTACCCTACCCTACCCTACCCTACCCTACCCTACCCTACCTTTCCCTACCCTACCCTACCCTACCCTACCATACCCTACCCTACCCTACTCTAACCTTGCCTTAACCCTACCATTGCTATAGCCCCACGCTTGCCAAAGCCTTACCCATACCTTAGTCTTACTCATGTTTCAAACTTAACCTTGTCTTACTGCTACCCATGTCTTACCCATGCCCTTGCCTTCGACCTTCTTTTGCTATAGCTTAACCCTACCTACTCTGGTCTACTTTATACAATCTTACCTTGCCTTATGCTGCCTTGCCGTGCTCAATCATGCTTTATCCTGCCCTACACTACTCTGGTTTATTTTACTGTACTCATGTTATTTTAGCCCTACGCTTGCTTTATTTGTAGACAAAAGTTACCGTAACTTCTGTCTTAGCTTTGCGTTAACCTTATCTTAGCCTTACCTCGGCCGTTTTAGTTCGCTTTTCTCCCTCACGCTAGCCTTACCCAAGTTTAACTATTGGTCAAAAGCGGCCACACAGTTAACTTATCCTACTATACTGTTAATTTTTATAAACTCGTTTTATATTTTGTCATTTCCCAGCCCTATGAATTTCGTTTAAATAAGCCCTACCAACTCTACCTAGCAAACCAAACCCTACAAGTGAACATAACCTTCCATAACAAGCCAACTCACCCTTCCAATAAAGTACCGACCCATCAGCCATTGGCTAGCATTTCCTAATCAAAACAAGCCATTTCTCATTGGGAAACATCTTTATAAAACATCACAATGACCTTTTTAATTCTGATGTTTTATGGAGTTAATATTGATGGCAATACAAATTCATCCAGACAACTACTATATGCTAGGTAGTAATTTTAAACACAGTAACACCCTTCCTTCTTTTAGCCTAATTTTTGAAAAATTTTATTGTTTTTGAAAAGTAAATGCTTTTGCAAAATGATAACAAGAATGTTTGGAAATCAAAAACCGTTATTGTAACAAAATAACTACTGAAGCTTGGCTGTTATTTGGCTGTAAACAGCTTTTTTTAAACTCAAGGTTTGAATATTGTTCGGCAAACATGTTGCAGATGTTTACGGTAAGAATAAGGGGTAGAGGAGGGTAACGGGGTAAAGGGGGGGGAGGGGACGGGGGGACGGGGGGGGTAAGAAGTTGTAGGAAAAGGTGGCTTTGGGTTGGTATAGAGGGAGAGGTAGAAGAGAGGAAGACGGGAGAAGGGGGGGGCGGGGGTAACAGAAGTATAAATGTAAGGTAGAGGGAAGGTGTAGGAGAGGGGGACAGAAGTAAAAAAAAGGGGGGGGTGACAAAAAGAAGGGGGAGTGGAAATACTTTTCTTCCCCTCACCCGTACCCCTCCCCTCTCCTGATCTCCTCTCTCCCTCTCTTTCTTCTCTCCCCCTCCCCCCCCCCTCGCTGTCCTTCTACCCTCCTTTCACAAAATAACCTTTCCTTTACCTACCCGTGCCACCTTTCTTACAACAAAACAAAATAAACATTGTTACCGCAGCTTAATCTAAAACTTATTATCAGCCACCTAACCAGAATGACAATCCAAAAGTCATGACATGTCATCAACTATGTCTTGCCTTAAACATCAGTTCGATTTGTATACTCTATTAATCAAAAAACGACAACCTCCCGGATACGGTAGATTAAAATGTACCCGCTAAAGTCGTGTCGAATTAGCGTGAATTAAAAAACAAAAATTTTTACAATCAAAAAAATATTACAGTATTACAATGTGCGCCCGAAAACAACACTGATCATACCATAATTGAAAGAGAAACGGAGGTTGGAAGAGGGTTGTGAGGAAAGAGTGGGGTAGAATAGGGCAGGGAGGATAGGATACGATAGGGTGGTTTAAGACAAGGTAGAGTAGGATAAGGTAGGGTGAGGTATTATAGGGACTAATTTTTTTTTATTATTTAAAAATTTTTTTTCTAGTTTATCTTCGCGATCCCTTGCCTTTGCCTCTTTTTACGTAAAAAATCTGTTCTGTCCTCTCCTTCCCCCCGTCCCCCACCCAGGCTTGGACGTAGGGCGTTGCCCCCGGTGCCCGACCCGGCCCGGCCCTGGGGGCGGGCCGGGTAGACATGGCAAACGGGCCGGGCCGGACCAGGGCCCATTTTTACGATCAAATACAGGGCCGGGCCGGGCAGGGCCCATGATTCTAACCGGGCAGGGCTTGCTTCGTGCCCGGTAATGCCCTGTAAATGCCCGGTAATAATTTTTCATATATAAAAAAAATTAATTTAAAATTGTTGAGTGTCTAACAAGTAATGTTACTTACCCCACTTCACTCCTGAACATTTTAGCTCTTTCCGACCTCATCCCTGATTCTTTTATCCCTACCCGACTTCAGCCCCCCTATTTTAACCCTACCCAACCTCACCCCTGACCCTTTTAACCCTACCCGACCCTACCTTTGACTTTTGTAGCCTTGCCCAATCCTACGCTACCATATTGTACCTAACATGCCACACCCCGCCATACCCTATCCTATCTACCGTACCAAACCCTACAATACCTTACCATATTATAACATGCCATACCCTACCATAAAATACCATATCCTACCATACCATAACATACTACATATACCATACTGTATCATATCTCACCTTATCCAATCTTATACAACACTACTGTGTACTACCCATAGGTAGGGTAGAGTAGGTAAATAAAGCAAGATAAATGGTATAACATAGTCAGGTAGAGTATGGCATGTTATATATGTTAGGGCATTGTAGGATTTGGTATGGTAGATAGGACAGCATATAGTATGGTAGGGTATTGTAGGGTTTGGTATGATAGATAGGATAGGTTATGATATGGTAATGTAAGGTATCGTAGAGTTTGGTATGTTTTGTTTGGTAAGATTAGTATGATATAGTAAGTAGCATAGGAGATGGTACAGTACAGTATGGAATTTTATGTAGGATGGTTTTGGTATAGTAGGGTAGGATAATAAAGTCAAGGGTAGGGTCTAGTAAAGCTAAACAGGTCAAAGGTAGACTTGGACAAAGCTAAAGAGGTCAGAAGTAAGGTTGGGTAGCCCTAAAAAAGTTAGGGGTAAGGCCGGGAAGGGCGAAAAGGGTCAGGAGTGAGGCCGGATAGATATAAAGCAGTTTATTTCACTTGTTATTAGCTTTATAAACTTAATTTACAAATGCCCTGTAAAACCCTGTAAATGCCCTGCCCGACCCGGCCCCAGGGCCGGGCAGGGCCCGAAATTAAAAGCCCTGTACCGGGCAGGGCCCAAACGGGCCCGGCCCCAAGGCCGCAAATTGCAAATTGGGCCCTGCCCTACCCTACGTCCAAGCCTGCCCCCCCCCCTCCCCCCTTCCCCCCCCTCTTCCTTCCCGCACCTTTCTCTCTCCCTCCCCCCCCCTCTTCTCTTACAAAAACTGTTTTTTCTTTTCCTCTCTTCTTTCTTACCGTTCTCTTACTAATCCCTTATTTATCTCTTACATCTCATTTACCATACCTTAACTCTCTCTTACTAATCTCGCATTCCGCTTTCACCTATCTCGTACCCTTTCTTTACTTCTCATTTACGCCTCTCTCACCTGTCTCTTACCATACCCCTTATTTCCATTTATCATTCCTTACCATTCTTTAACATATTCCTTCTCTTATTCTATCTTTTTTACCTACTCATCCATATAAATAGAAGCTCATTTTATAAGTTAAAAAGATCAGACCAGCCCCACAAAGACAACAACAAACAAACAGAAGAACCAGAAAACATTGGAACGAGAACTGTAACGGGTTCATTTTTAAACCCCCATTTCAAAACTCTCCGGGTTTATAAGCGCAAGATGGATGACATGTGATGGTCTATTTTTAAAAGTCATCGTCGATATTTTTAAAACGACCGTTTTTTAAACCGACCTCCCCTTCCTTGATGATTTTTAAAACAATCATTAACCGGCGATTACTTTTATGTTTTATTTTTACATTCGATGTGATCTATAATTGTTCAAACATGTTAAACTATGACGCCCTTCCCAAAACAACTCGTTTATCAAGTGTAATATGCAGCGGCTATAAATAGCAGACACAAAGCCACAACTTGATGATTGTAATGTTAGATTGTTACCGAAGAGTAACAGAGCAAAGTGATTAAACATTAAAAAACAATGTATAATATATCGTTAGTTAAGCTTGAGTTGATCGTTTATTTAGAATAAAAAACTATTACAGTTAAAGTTAAGGTAAAAAAGTCTAGCTTAAGGTAGGTGTAATTATAACAAACAATTTTAAAATGGCTAGTTAACACTACACGGTGCATTTAAAAATTTTGTATTACGAAACCTCTTTATAAGAAACAAATTTAAAATTCCTAAGGAAGTTGTTACACAATAGTTCTACTGTAATATGTTATCAGTTATTCTGCTTACAAGGTACCCGACCTGCAACGCTCAGATTTCTTTGAAATTTTTTTTGTTGAAAGATCATGTAGATGTAAGACCTTACGTAACATTCTAAATTGCGGTTTGCTGCCAGTCTTGAGAAAATGGAGATCAAAAAATTGCGTTTTGAATTTTCCGCCAAATTGGCATAGTGTTTCAAGCTTGTAACTTCCTCATTTTTTGCCTTTTAACTATTTTTTTAAATATAATGATAGAAAAGCTCCAAATAAACCTCTATTTTTAAATTTGTAAGCCTATCTTATCTGGAACATCAAAAAAGTGCTTGCAACACAATGCCAAACTGGCAGAAAATTTAAATAGATTAATTTTAAAACTCAAAACCGCAAACAAATATTTTTTATATGTGTTACTGGTAATACAAAAAATCCGTATAAAAATTTTGAGCTAGTTCTGAGAGTTGCAGGTTGGGTACTTTCCTTGTCAATACGAGATGAAGATTACAATAGCCTACATCGTACTGAATTTCAAAGTTAACACTAATAAATTTTAATTTCATGAAAAATGACCATCTTTCAAAATTATCTTACAGCCAACTTTACTACACTTAAATATACAGATACATACAATACATAACCAAGAGTAGAGTAGAAAGACGAGAAAGAGATAAAAATAAAAAAAGTCTTTTAATTTGTAGTAAAATAAAGATCATAGAAAATATACCATAGTAACAAAATAAAATGTAAACTAAAACTTTCTTATGATACATTGACCAGTCGGTTCAATTCAACCACTTTTGATTGCTTTTGCTGAAGGTATTAGGAACACTCCTCCACTACCAAACGGTCGAGCGTATTCACCTCCACCCGGCGGTATGGGCTGAGCATACCCACCTCCACCCGATGGTATAGGTATGGGCTGAGCATATCCACCCCCACCTGGTGGTATAGGTATTGGTTGGGCATAACTACTACCACCCGATGGTATAGGTATGGGCTGAGCATATCCACCCCCACCTGATGGTATAGGTATGGGCTGAACGTAGCTGTTTCCAGAGGGTTGGATGTACTGAGAATAGGTATCAACAGGCTCATATATAGTGCTGACTTTGTATCGTGCACAGACGTTGAGTTCACATGGGCAGGTACTGTAAGAAAATTACTGTAAGATTTTGTATGAATATTTGTTTTTTAAGTTACTGTAAGATATTGAAAAGCTAAGTTTAAAAAGATAAAGCCAATCCTAAACAATAAAGCTAAGCTTAAAAGATCTACTATAACATGTTATTACCTAACATAACTTGATCCCCGATCACATTGACTACAGCCAGAACAACAACAACCTGGATTACAACAAGGATTTCCAATTATACTACAGTAAAACAAGTCTACAAATAGTAACAGTAAAAGTACAGTAACTTTTTGCATAGTCTTTAACAGTGTTTGCATTTTTGAAATTTTTGGCTCAAGCTCCGGCTCCGACCTTTTTTCAAATTGGGCTCCGGCTCCGGGCTCCGGAGCCCTTATTTTAGTCCGCTCCGGCTCCGGGTCAGATTTTTTAAAAAATGGTTAAAAACCGTTAAATTTGGTGTTATTGACGTGTTTTGCCATATATAACAACATTTATTATAAGAAATTGAAAGATGTAACAAAAAAATATATAATTTATCAAAACAAAGTTAAACTTTACTTTGTGTACGAACTATTAAACCCTATTAGCCTCTTTTGCCTGACCAACACGTTTAGATTTTCAAAACTTCGACAGAGCTACTGCTTGCAGTCTGCTAAAGAATTGTTCATGCTGGCTGAATCTAGTAGCTAAAGTAAAAGGATTGAATGTAAATCTAGCTAAAAGTTTGTAATTTTTCTTCAACCTGGCCTGGTCTGCCTAGAGTCGCGTCGTAAGTAAGTTTTAATATATTATTAGTGGTGTTTTTAGAGCATTTTTTGTAATCAAACAAAAAGCAATAAGCGTTTGCACGCAGCGAGGTCCGAACCTGCGAGTGCAACACCGATGGATAACGCTTATCCATTCCGCTATATGATCACGCTCTCCTTTTCTTTCGTTTCTCTTCTTTTTGGGAAATATATCACAACAAATCGCAAAAAAAAGTTTTTTGTCCTCTTTTTCCCCGAAAAAGCACCCGTAAGCTCCGCCCTTGTTTTTGAAAAGGAGAAGAAAAAGCGCTTTTCGGGAGAAAGGCGCAAGCCCCGCCCCGCCCTTCTCTCCTCCCAGCAAAAAAAATAAAAATGAAAAAAAAATGTGCGGAGCCAGAGCCGTGCCAAAAAAAATCAAGCTCCGGCTCCAGCTCCGGCTCCGACCATTTTCGAATTTTAGCTCCGGCTCCGGCTCCGACTCCGGAGCCCATGCAAACACTGGTCTTTACTCTATCATAAGATAACATATAATAGCACCTACAATAACATTTACATTACAATAACTGTATTTATATACGAAAACTGTTTCTATTTTACTTTTTTTATACGACCAGCATCTACTGTCTCTTTTATGTCTTTTGTGTATTGTTTTGTCGTATATGCATATATGTTAATCATCAGGTATTGTTGCATAGTATACAAGAAAAATACGTAAAGTAGAAAATATTATTTTACTGCGGTATGTTTTTATAGCACAAGGTTTTACTGTACGGTAGCTAAAGCTAAGTTTACTGTAAAACTTAAAAGGTATGTTATAACCCACCATTACTATACCATGACATATATATTGACCAAGTTTCTATATAGACGGTTTTACAACGAGCCGGATCATAAACCGTCGACGATATGACTAGTGATAGTAAAAAGCGATTAATCATCGCGTAAAACATTTTCGAACCCAACACGTCAGTGTTAGTTTAGTCTAGGTGCATTTATCTCGTGACAAAATGGCTAAAGCTGTCTCGGATTGTCTCAAACGAGTGCTTATGGTACCACCAAAGTACTTTACTGTTGAGGTAGGTAGTTTACTGTTGAGGTATTAAAAATCTTAAAAATTTAATTTTTAAAATATTTGTAAAAAAGTTTTCGAAATTTTAAAATTTTTTAGTATGCCATCAATCCGTGGATGGGTGGAGTAGTAAACAAGGAACTAGCCCATAAACAATGGAATACCCTCAAGGAAACTATTGAAAAACAAGGTGTACAAGTAAGACCTTAACTTTTTCTCTAATTTTTAGCTCGTCCTAGCCTTAACTTTAACCCTAGGTCTCGCTTTAACTTGATCTACTTTGGCCTTGCCCTGACTTTGCCCTGGTCTTGCTCTGGCCTTGCCCTGGCCTTGCTGTGGCCTTGCCCTGGCCTTGCCCTGGCCTTGCCCTGGCCTTGTCCTGGCCTTGCCCTGGCCTTGCCCTGGCCTTGCCCTTGCCTTGCCCTGGCCTTGCCCTGGCCTTGCCCTGGCCTTGCCCTGGCCTTGCCCTGGCCTTGCCCTGGCCTTGCCCTGGCCTTGCCCTGGCCTTGCCCTGGTCTTGCCCTGGCCTTGCTCTGGCCTTGCCCTGGTCTTGCCCTGTCCTTGTCCTGGCCTTGCCCTGGCTTTGCCCTGGCCTTGCCTTGCCTTCCTTTGCTTTGCCTTACTTAAGTCAATTTCCCCTATTCCAGGTCCTAACTCTAGACCCAGCCCATGGCCTTCCCGACATGGTATTTGTATGTAACAGCGGACTGGTTCACAAAAATAATGTCTATCTCTCATCGTTTCGTCATCCACAAAGACAAGGTGAACAGAACCACTACCTAAAATGGTACCAGGACAATGGCTACAATTTGTTTGGTGCAAATTTCGAACATTGTTTCGAAGGGGGTGGTGATGCCGTTTTCAGTGATTACAACACATTATGGGCAGGGTATGGTGAAAGAAGCAATAAGGCGGTGTATGAATTTGTGAAAAGGATTGGCAAGTTTGAAATCGTTTACTGCGAAATGGTCGATCCCAAGTTCTATCATCTGGATACATGTTTTACTCCGGTTGGAGCGGACTCGGCTTTGTACTACCCTGAGGCTTTTAGTGACAAAACTAATAATGATGTGAGTTTCTTTGCAGTTAAAATTAAAAAAAACAAGTTTTAAAGAATTAGCGGTTGACATGTTTTAAGGTTAGGAGTATCATGTCTTACAGGTTAGTTAGAGATTTTATGCTTAACCTTGTAGGCTTAACATTAGTAGGCTTAAGTTTATCAGACTTAAAAATTTAAGCCTAAAAGTTACACTGCTAGGCTTAGGCTTGTAGGTTTATAATTTTAATATTAGTTTTTTCAGCGTGGGTTTGTAGGCTTAACCTTCTAGGCTTAAGCTTTTAGGCTTAGGCTTCTAGGCTTCTAGGCTTAGGCTTCTAGGCTTAGGCTTCTCGGCATAGGTTCCTAATCTTAGGTTTCTAGGCTTGGGCTTCTAGGCTTAGACTTCTAGGCTTAGCTTCTAGGCTTAGGCTTCTAAGCTTAGGCTTCTCGGCATAGGCTCCTAATCTTAGGCTGCTAGGCTTAGGCTTAACCTTCTGGGCTTACACTTCTAGACTCAACCTTCTAGACTTAGGCTTCTAGGTTTATGCTTCTAGGCTTAACCTTTTAAGCTTGGGCTTCTAGGCTTAGGCTTCTCGGCATAGGCTCCTAATCTTAGGCTTCTAGCCTTAGGCTTCTGGGCTTAGACTTCTAGACTCAACCTTCTAGGATTAGACTTTTAAGCTTAGGCCTCTAGGCTTGGGCAATTTAAAAAATTGAATTTTTCTAAATTTTTCAAAATTCCAGATCAAAACCAGACTGCCAAGAGCCATTCCAGTATCTCAAGAAGAAGCTAAAGCTTTCGTCTGTAATGCAATTACAGTAAGAAAGACTGTAATTTCACCAATTGGAGTCAAAGAAGAAACAAAGAAAGCGTTGAAAGACTTGGGTTATGAAGTGGCTGAAGTTGACATGAGCGAGTTTATGAAGTCTGGCGGAGCTTGTCAATGCTTGGTCATGAAGTTGTAGTTGTATTCTTAGTAAAGTACCTAGATTGGATATTGTAGAAAATAAATAGTGTTTTTTGTAGTGTTTTTGTTACTGTAGTCGTAATAAAAATAAAAATTTATTTTCTTGATCATATTGGCTTAGGCTTCTAGGCTTAGGCTTAGGCTTCTGGGCTTAGGCTTCTAGGCTTAACCTTCTAGGATTAGACTTTTAAGCTTAGGCTTCTCGGCATAGGCTCCTAATCTTAGGCTTCTAGCCTTAGGCTTCTGGGCTTAGACTTCTAGACTCAACCTTCTAGGATTAGACTTTTAAGCTTAGGCCTCTAGGCTTAGGCTTCTAGGCTTAAGCTTCTAGGCTTAGGCTTCTAGGCTTCTAGGCTTAGGCTTCTAGGCTTCTAGGCTTAGGCTTCTAGGCTTAGGCTTCTAGGCTTAGGCTTCTAGGCTTAGGCTTCTAGGCTTAGGCTTCTAGGCTTAGGCTTCTCAGCTTAGGCTTCTAGGCTTAGGCTTCTAGGCTTAGGCTTCTAGGCTTAGGCTTCTAGGCTTAGGCTTCTAAGGCTTAGGCTTCTAAGGCTTGGGCTTCTAGACTTAGGCTTCTAAGCTTAGGCTTTTAGACTTAAGCTCATACTTACTTGGCCTTAGATACTGCAATTCATAATCAAATTACAGTAATTAAGTTTGAATAAAAACTGAAAAATGCAAATCTATTTACTATTTTGATCTAGCTAATTATTTGGCTAAACTAACGTAGAATACTAATGTAAAAATTGGAAAATGCAAATTATGCCTCGGGCAAGATAATTCAAATTCAAAGCACATGGTCTTAAAATTAGTCTGAATAGTATATTTGATGACATTTTTTATAGTGCTAGGGCTCTGAGCTAGGGCTCTGGGCTAGGGCTCTGGACTAGGGCTCTGGGCTAGGGCCCTGGGCTAAGGCTCTGGGCTAGGGCTCTGGGCTAAGGCTCTGGGCTAGGGCTCTGGGCTAGGGCTCTGGGCTAGGGCTTTGGGCTAGGGCTCTGGGCTAGAACTAAGGCTAAAATTTTTTTAAATTTTAATTTTAAAACTAAGCCATAGCATTAACTTTGTCATAACTCACAATTACAGTGAAAAGCCATAGTTAATATGATATTAAATTGTTGTTCTCAGGCCCATTACTGTTGTAATAAAGGCATGTTGCCATGGTAATTAATAGAAGAACGCCAGCTAAATCCAGGAATTTATCCGGAAAAAACGAAAAAAAAAAAGATCTTGAGCTTTTGATACCTATTTTTATAAAATTTTTGCGTTTTTTTTTGTTTTTTGATACTGTATCCCACTAAGCTTATATTAACTAGACCTAACAATAGTAAGCCTGATGTTACCAAGCGAAAGCTGAAGTCTAGATGCTGCCAAGCCTACTAAGTTTGAGCATGTACATTTTAAGACAACCTTAGCCTTAGCCTTCGCCATAGCCTTAGCCTTAGCATTAGCATTAGCCTTAGCCTTAGCCTTAGCCTTAGCCTTAGCCTTAGCCTTAGCCTTAGCCTTAGCCTTAGCCTTAGCCTTAGCCTTAGCCTTAGCCTTAGCCTTAGCCTTAGCCTTAGCCTTAGCCTTAGCCTTAGCCTTAGCCTTAGCCTTAGCCTTAGCCTTAGCCTTAGCCTTAGCCTTAGCCTTAGCCTTAGCCTTAGCCTTAGCCTTAGCCTTAGCCTTAGCCTTAGCCTTAGCCTTAGCCTTAGCCTTAGCCTTAGCCTTAGCCTTAGCCTTAGCCTTAGCCTTAGCCTTAGCCTTAGCCTTAGCCTTAGCCTTAGCCTTAGCCTTAGCCTTAGCCTTAGCCTTAGCCTTAGCCTTAGCCTTAGCCTTAGCCTTAGCCTTAGGTTTAGCGTAAGACTTAGACTGGATTTCAGCCCAAGCCTAAGTTCAAGCCCAATTCCTAGTTCTAGCTCCAGCTCTAGTTCTATATCTAACTCTAGCCCTAGTCCAAGCCTGTAATCTTAGCCATAGCTTTGGGTGTAGCCTCAGACTTAACTTTAACATAGTTAAGGCCCAGTTTTCAGCTAAATTCTATTTTTTTAAACTGTTTTAACCTTTTTAAACAATGGATGTACGTCTCAAACAGTTTTAATTATGTCTTCATATGAACGTAGTCGAATTAAGCCGGCCAGATGGCAGTTGAAAGCGAAAAATCGGGTGGCTTTATTTGCGTTCGAAGCCGGCTGTACCTTGTCGTAATGTGGAAAAAAAAACCGGGACGTGGTTTATTAAAGCTTATATTTCTAGTCATTGGTCTGGACTGCCAATTTTTTTTATTTTTTTTGATTTTGTGGTGGTCAAAAATTAAGAAGAAAGTGGGTTTTAGGCTAAAAAAGGGGCAGGATTTAGCAAAATTTAGGTTAAAATGACCTTAAATTGGAATTTTTAAATAGTTACAGTAAGAAATTTTTGAAAAACTCAACTTGTTTATTTTTTTAATTTAAAATTTTTTTTCAAAATTTCAAAAAAATAGATTTCGAGTTCATTTTTTAGCCCTTTGACCCTCGGGAGGGGTGCGTTGAAAAACGCCCCTTCCGCAAATAATACAACCTCCCCTCAATTCCATTCTTCTCCACGTGTAAACACAAGAAGAATATTCGTTATTCGAGGTGATGATGTAACGTTTTATATCTAAATTTATAAAATTGGTCGATATTTTGGTCGAAATCATTTTTTTTATTACGATTTTGGATTTAACCTGCCCTTATATAGTTCTGGCCCTAGTATACTCTTCCTTGCCTGGCCTTGCCCTGGCCTTGCCCTGCCCTGCCCTGCCCTGCCCTGCCCTGCCCTGCCCTGCCCTGCCCTTGCCTTGCCTTGCCTTGCCTTGCCCTGGCCTTGTACTGGCCTTGCCCTGGCCTTGCCCTGGCCTTGCCCTGGCCTTGCCCTGGCCTTGCCCTGGCCTTGCCCTGGCCTTGCCCTGGCCTTGCCCTGGCCTTGCCCTGGCCTTGCCCTGGCCTTGCCCTGGCCTTGCCCTGGCCTTGCCCTGGCCTTGCCCTGGCCTTGCCCTGGCCTTGCCCTGGCCTTGCCCTGGCCTTGCCCTGGCCTTGCCCTGGCCTTGCCCTGGCCTTGCCCTGGCCTTGCCCTGGCCTTGCCCTGGCCTTGCCCTGGCCTTGCCCTGGCCTTGCCCTGGCCTTGCCCTGGCCTTGCCCTGGCCTTGCCCTGGCCTTGCCCTGGCCTTGCCCTGGCCTTGCCCTGGCCTTGCCCTGGCCTTGCCCTGGCCTTGCCCTGGCCTTGCCCTGGCCTTGCCCTGGCCTTGCCCTGGCCTTGCCCTGGCCTTGCCCTGGCCTTGCCCTGGCCTTGCCCTGGCCTTGCCCTGGCCTTGCCCTGGCCTTGCCCTGGCCTTGCCCTGCCCTTGCCCTGCCCTGCCCTTGCCTTGCCTTGCCTTGCCTTGCCTTGCCTTGCCTTGCCTTGCCTTGCCCTGGCCTTGTACTGGTCTTGCCCTGGCCTTGCTCTGGCCTTGCCCTGGCCTTGCCCTGGCCTTGCCCTGGCCTTGCCCTGGCCTTGCCCTGGCCTTGCCCTGGCCTTGCCCTGGCCTTGCCCTGGCCTTGCCCTGGCCTTGCCCTGGCCTTGCCCTGGCCTTGCCCTGGCCTTGCCCTGGCCTTGCCCTGGCCTTGCCCTGGCCTTGCCTTGCCTTGCCTTGCCTTGCCTTGCCTTGCCTTGCCTTGCCTTGCCTTGCCTTGCCTTGCCTTGCCCTGGCCTTGCCTTGCCCTGCCCTGCCCTTGCCTTTGCCTAGTGACATGATTGCTTTTCTCTTTCACATTGATACCTAAAATTGCGCTTTAATCTTAAAAAAAGTAAATTTCTTATTGTAAGTGGATTTCTGCAAATAAACCGGATATTTATTAATATTTAAGCCCTTAAGATAATAAGCTACCGTCTACGTATTCGTGTCAACGTGAGAATTTCATAAGGTTTCAGATCCTAAAAGTTTACTGACTTTTAACTGGGTTTTTTTTTAATTTCACTGTAATTTTCTTGTTGCACCGTGCAACTAATTTCATTGCACCGTGATACCAATTTCATTGCACCGTGCAAAGCTCTTTAATGCATTATATATGTATTTACTTCAGAGCTTTGACTCTAAGGTATATTTTCGTAGCATTGTAATACTATTTTTTAATTATTATGCACTAATTTTGACTTTATCATTCATTCAATTTCATTGCACCGTGATGCCAATTTCATTGCACCGTGCAAAGCTCTTTAATGCATTATATATGTATTTACTTCAGAGCTTTGACTCTAAGGTATATTTTCGTAGCATTGTAATACTAGTTTTCAAATATTATGCACTAATTTTAACTTTATCATTCAATCCATTTTGATTCACGGTGCAACCTATCTCACCGCACCGTGCAACAAAATTTTTTGCACTGTGCATCTTTTTTATGTCAATTTTTATGTAATTTTCGAAATTTCATGTTCCGAAACAATATGAAACTCCGAAGAATATGTTCTTGAGTGTAATTAATTTCGGAAACGAAATTGGAGGCCATATTTGTTATATTTTATGCAAAAGGTCATTCGACACTCGGCCAACAGTTATTAACCCTATCATTGCGGTGTGAAGTGGCATTTTTGGGGCTTCTAAAAGCATATTTTATTTTTGATTCTATTTTTAAGAATTTTGAAAAAAAAGATTAGAAAAGCTTCGAAATCATTTATATTACCTATGATAACATCACTTTTTACCCATTTTTCCAATTTAAACCCAATTTTCTGCCAAAACTTTTTAAAGTTAAATCAAAAACAGGCTCGCATCTCATACCTCGTGATTTCTCCATGAAGTTTAGTACCATTTCTTAAAGAAAAAAGCCGAGGTGCGCGACGTTAATCATTTCACTCGTTTCGTCGCGTCGTCTCTTCCTTTCACGCGCTATTTCGGCTTAAAAAACCCTCGGGAAACATCTGTTGCAATATGAGGTTTATTCCTTCATGTCTGGGCTTGGTTTCCTTACAAAAATCTTTTTTATTTCTTGGGCGGATCAAAAGTTCTGACGGATTTTATGGAAAGTGATGGGTTTTTGGTAAAATGGCCGTCTTTTTCGTTGTTTTGATAAATAAATTGTAAAATAAAGTTTTGAATTTTAAAAATATAAATTTTTAATAGTTTTTTAATATTACTTTTTACTTTTGAATCAATTTCTTAAAAAAACCTTGAAGTTATGACGCCTTTTCTAGAAACCAGCCATTTTCTGAAACACTGACGCATTTTTCGGAAGTTGATAAAACTTTTTCGCAAAAAACTTTTTACATGTATGTAAAACAACTTTCCCAACCTTTAAGTATAGATTTTGGATTATTTTATCAAATTTGCTACTATTTATTACTCAATTTGTTTGTCTTATCTGATAAAAGAAAATTTTTCGTCGTTTTCACGTTTTCTTACAACTTTTGCGGCTTAAACGATTGATTATTGATTGGAATGGACTCTTTTTTGTTAACAATTAGTCTAGAGTTTTTTGATTTTATAAATGTTTGGTTTGATTGACAGTTGAAGATTTATAGCTAATTATATTGTACATGGTCTTCGGCTTTGGTGGTGGTTTGGTTTTTTGAAATTTTTAAAATGAAAATGAAGGATCGGTAAAATGAATGTTTAGGTTAATGTAGAGTAGAGTTTTTTCTGCCTAAAGAAGTGTATGTTAAGCTAGTTATGCTTAATTTAACTTATTTTTTTCCTATATTATTCATGTCTATCAAAGGTGGTAAGTTCTTACTTTTTTTCTATTTTTTGAAAGTTAATGAAGTTATTTTTCAAAATGATGCTACCTGTAGATAAAACTGACTTTTCTTTATCCAAAAAGATAAAACCTTAAGTATTTTACTTTGTTTTAAATTAGTTCTGGCTTATCTTATCCATGACGGTAAAATAAGGTGAAGCTCAAACCTTTCCTGAAATTTTTAAATTTTGGTTGCCTGAATGATCAAAGCTTCCAACATAATTTGAAACACATTCTTTGCTATCTAACCATTCCGAAATTAAGCTGTTTTGCTACCCAAACATTGCAATAAAACCGAATTTTAAATTAACAGTGGGACTTTTTCGCCAGTGGCAATCCTTACGGATTTTTTTGAACGTTCTTTGGGTTTTCTTTTTGAAAACAAGCTTGTACACTTATGTCTGTGTAGAAAGATTATTCAGACCGCTTTTTACGTTTGTTTCACACACGTTTTATTTATTCTTTGTGAGCTTCATAATTGATATTCATGATGCCTTATGTTTAATGTTTGCAGCGGGTTTTGGCGGGGTTAGTGGAAAGATTAAAGAATGAAATGGAGATTTTTGAATTCTTTGGGGATTTATCTGTTTTGTATTAGAATTTGAGCAAAAAATGTTGGTTTAATGACGCGCGACATCTGATGTTATCTTTGGTGGTCTACGTGAGATCTTTTTCATTTTTTAGCTGTTTTTTAAAAGGAAGTTGAAACTTTGGAAAATATTGTTATCTATTTGTTGGATCAGCGTTGTAACTATCTGTTAGCATAATACTTAGGTATAAATTTTGATTTCAATAGCATAAATCTCGATGTTATCTATAGCGGTATACTTGATGTCTATATCAACTTGTATGCTTTATTTTGGTAAAAGCTATAGAACTTGTAGCATGATGTTATTTTCTATCGGTGCCACATAGTTTTTGCTTTCTAGTGTTAAAGTTTTAGATGAAAATATTGAGTTAAAGCCGAGAAACATCTGATATTATCCATGAAGGTCTGCTTGACGTCTCTTACAAACTTTGACTTGATATTTAAATTAATAGTGATTCTGAAAGATTGTTTTGGTAAAAGGCATTTCATATGTTGTCCAAGAATTTATAGAAGCTTGTTTTTGGCGTGTTTTATTTGGTATGATCAATACAAATAGAAATAACTCAAAAATCTTCTAACTTTACCATTCTTCAGGACCTCCAACCGTCTGTCGGCACAAATTTCAATTCTTCAAACCTCCAAAATTCGTTAAAATCATTCAGTATCATACGCGACGTCTAAATGAACGACTACATGTATGACACAGGGGGTTCATCACAAATGACATCCCAAAATCAAATGAGAAACGATATGCCGGGCTCATCATTACAACAGATTCCACAATCTTCCCACCAGATGCCGGGCTCGTCGAACAATCAGAAGGAACGGTTTGCACGAGAAAATCATAGTGAAATCGAAAGGAGACGAAGAAACAAAATGACACATTACATCAACGAGCTCGCCGAGATGGTACCTCAATGTGCGGCTTTAGGTAAGCGTTTTTGATCATTTCTTTTTGATTTTTAGGTTGAAGAAAGAATGGTTTAGATATTTTTGTGGATGTTGAATAGGTCTTGTTACCTAAATTTAAAAATACTTGATTTTTTTGGCCAAGTTTATTTTATTTTCAATCCTTTATTAAAAAAAAACCTCAAATTTTAGGCCGAAAACCGGACAAACTGACAATTTTACGAATGGCCGTGACCCACATGAAGCAGATCCGTGAAATATCCACCCCATCCGATCCAGCCCTCGCCAATATCAACAGTTACAAGCCCACCTTCCTTACAGACCAAGAGCTGAAACATATGATCCTAGAGGCGGCCAATGGCTTTCTCTTCGTTGCAGCGTGTGACAGCGGCCGAATACTGTACGTAGCTGATAGTATACTGCCGGTACTAAACCTGCGACAAGAAGAATGGCTAGGCCATTCAATATACGACTTGGTGCATCCGGATGACATGGATAAGGTCAGGGATCAGTTGTGCGCTTCTGAAGCCAATTTGAATCGGACGTTGGACTTGAAGAATGGTGCGGTTAAGAAGGACCAGCGAGTGGGACCACCTGTTCATATGGGTTGTAGGAGGGGATTCATATGCAGAATGAGATTGGGTAAGGATTTTTGGACTTTTAATTTAAAATGGCATAAAATTGCATTTTTAAAGATTTTCTGTTGTGTAAAGAAAGTTATTGCCATTTCAGGTAACATAGAACCCTTGCACAGGCTTCGTAATCGCCGTCCCTTGTTCACACACAACGGTCAAACCTATGTTGTTATGCATTGTACAGGATACGTGAAACAAACACCGCCACAGGGCGTGGAACAAACCCACGCTAGTTGTTTGGTTGGTGTGGCTAGGCTGCAGGTGAGGAAATTTTTTACACCTTTCAAAATGACCTTTGTTACCTAAAACTGCCATTTTTTAAATAAAGTGACGTTATTTATATCCAAAAATGACATTTTTTACCACCCCAACCTTCAGGTAGCCTCCATGCCCACAATAAAACCGGACGGCATCGACGGCGAACAGTTCTGCATGAGGTGGAACGACGAAGGCAAAATCACGTTTGTCGACCAACGTATTCAGCATGTTCTGGAAATCCAGGCCGACGACCTAACCGGGCATTACTGTTGGCAGAACGTGCATCCAGCTGACGAACCTCTAGTCCGAGAAGCCTTCACCCAACTCATGCAAAACAATCAGGAATTCCAGCTGAGGTACAGGTTCGCACGGCCGAACGGCACGTTCGCACAGTGTTCCGTGGAAGCGTACAAGTTCATGAATCCATACTCGGAACAGTTTGAATATGTGGTGGCAACGGCACGGTACGGTGAAGCAACGACGAATAATGGTCAAGGAGCGAATCCAAATCAGAATGCAACGTTAAATCAGAATCCGACGATAAGCCAGAATCCGGTTATCAACCAGAATCCGACAATCAATCAGGCTTCAGCTTTGAACCAGGCCATCAATCAAAATCAAGCTTTTGAGGCGCAGCAATGGACTCAAAATCAGTCGGTATGGTGATTTTTTGATTTGCAAAGAAAGTTATTGCGGCTTTTGGTATCGTAAAGAAAGTTATTGCCATTTTTTGATTTTTAAAAAAAGTTCTTGTCATTTTTGGTTTTTTAAAGAAAGTTATTGCCATTTTTTGTTTTGTAAAGAAAGTTCTTGCAATTTCGCGCTATGTAAAGAAAGTTCTTGTCATTTTGTCATTTTAAACATTTCGAATTACAGCCGGTCGAACAACAACTCCCCTCCTCCACAATGGCCTTCCAGCCCCAACTCAACCCGATGGCTTTGAATGCGACCGTCCCAACCACGATGAACTCAGTCGACCCATGGCTGAACCAAATCCAGCCTCAGCCATCGCTCTACCAGAGCTGGAGTCAGGAAACGGCCGAAACCCTTCCAATCGCTCAATCTCAATGGACTTATTTGAACCAATAAACCTTTCGGGGTGGTGTAGTATAAAACAAGGTGTTTTGGCGGGGTTTTTTTTGGAATTTTTGGGATTTTTTGTCGGCTTGAAAGGTTGATTTTGGGGATTGAAGGGCGAAAATGGCAAATTTTTTATGTTTTTAGACCTTTTTTCGTGATTTTCGGCCGTTTTTTCGAGAATTGCGGCTAGAAAATGGACAAAAATTATCTAAATTAGATAAACAGAAGTCAGTTTCGAAGTTAGAATTAGCTTTTCTATTAAAAAATTAACGTTTTCCCTCAATTTAAGCCGACTTTCGTAGCCAAGACATGAAAGATTGGCTCCAAATCTTTCAAAAACAAAAAAACACACCCGCCAATAAAATGAAGTTTATACTACCCCACCCACTCTTATATCCTTGTATTCACCACTCCTGTTAACATAGTCCTCAAAAATTTTATCTCTTATCTTACCCCTTTGCGTCTTCCAAAGTTTACATAATAACTTGTTTTACATTAGTAATCACAACATATTCCTCTCTGCATAGACCTTTTTAATAAAAGTTCTTGCTATTTGAATTGTAATTACAATTTACCGCTATTTAAATTGAAATTACAAACTTTTTCTTACATACAAAGTGATTAAGACTTGTTTTTAATCATAAAACCACAATAAAATATGTTTTTACACTTTATTGGACAACAAGAACAACCTAAAACAACAATACACGATATGGAAGACCTCCTAAACATGAAGAACCTTTTCTAAATATAAAGAAGATCCTCAAAAACAAAATGACCATTATCTAAATCATCATAAATATAATGAAATCAAGATTCCGCAGCTACACTGTGCTTCTGAACGTATTCCGTGGCCGAAACTTCTGTGGAAATCGGCTCATTAAACTGTTTTTGAGGTAGATTCATGAAGAATATGTTCTGTTCCTGATCCAAACTGTCCAACGGACTCCATTCTCCTTGTATCGACTTGACTTGAGCGGTTTGAAGAGCTTTCAGCTTCTCAACAGGCTCTCCAGAACGGGTGCGGAGGTGGTTAATATGTCTGGATACTTCGTTTAGCCTATAAAAAATTTGATTTTAATATACTTTACTTGAATTTAGGTTTAATAGTTAAGTTATATTCAGTATGACTAAAAATCATGTTTTATTGATACCAAGACCGTGAACATACCTAAATCAATAAAATTAAAAAAAGAACACTCACATCATTCCCTTAAGATTCATGTGCACCATACGACCATTGGCATACTCTCCACGAGCTGTTGGTATAGCTTGCCGCCTTGGAATCACATAAATGGCAACAGAAGGATTCTCGCGAGCAAAGTTATTCAGCTCATGCTCAATAAACTGCCTCATCCCAACCGAAGCCTCGTTCTTCATGTCGAAGTTAATAGTAAGACGTTGCAGCTGAGGTATAGCACGTCTAGCCCAGCCACTGTGCTGTGGAATCGATGGGAATCCTAAAAGTATAATCAATAAAGATATAGAACTTACCTTCCATTCTGAATGCAAAGTTTAATTGTTTGGCCGCTGTGTATAGGTTTTTTAACCTATCAACTCTTGGAATGGCTGGCATTTTGAGTTTTTTTGACGCTAAACTTACATTTAACACAGAATTTTTACTTTTTCGGCTTATTTTTACTTGAGAAAAACTTGACTCACATTATGTGTCGTGTCTTGCTTTTTTCTAGAAAACATGTCATAGCTACGAAAGTAGCTTCGAAAAGGGCAAATTTACAATGAATTGATAAAAACAACTTTCATTAAATGTATTTATTACAATATAATAACAAAAACAACCTAAACAGCTTATCGATGATAAGTTTTTGGGCGCCTGATATTGGGTAAGTTTTGAAGATGAATCTTCTTAATCTTCAGCTCCTTTATCCTCCTCCACTGTTCATTTCGTCGGTTCTGCAACGCTCTCCAATATAACCAACCATGTTCTTCTGGAGTCATCTCTTCCAACGGCAATGGATCGTCCAAATTCAACTTGAACAACCATTCCGGGTATTCTGAATCCGGCAAAATCTTCGGTCCTGGCTCTTCTCCTCAAAATAGAAACATTTAATATCGTAGATGTTATTAAAAAACGTTTTCTGGAGCTCATATGATACGCTTTGTCCTGATTTAATACCTAAACAATTCAAAAACCAAAGAAGTTTCTCACCTTCGATCAAATAGTTCATGCACACATATTCCGACAGTTTCTTGGCGTCCGTGTCCACAAAACTCTTATCTTCTTTTACAGCAACAACTTTTCGTCCAACTGCTTGTCCACGAACCGTCACAGTCGCTGAAAAACGTCAAGATTAATTAAAAACAGCCTATGATAACATCAGCCCAGTTCAAAATGAACAAAGCTTAAACTTATAAAAATATGTTGACTTACAAATACTAGATGGTCTTAGAAACCGACATGCAGTAAAAACTACTTTATTCATTGTTAATTTACAGTCTTCTTACCATTTTACTATCTACCGAGCGAAAAATAAAATAAAGCAAAACATGGCCCCGAAATAGAAAGAGACAACTGTCTCTCTACGCTCGTTACTTGGCATTTCCTTGAAAGAGCTGCACAATAACGTTGACAGAGCTTTTGCTCGCATAGAAATTGACAGGTATGGCATATTCCACTAGGCTTTGATACAATCAAATGTCAGACCACGCGATATGAAGGTCAGAACGCTTTGATTTTTGAAGGTATACCTGGCTAATTGTGGTTCATTTTGTAGATCGGTTGGTTTAGACGTATGTTTACAGTGTTTTTCTACAAAATACTATTTTAAGAGATAGTATATTGTTATTCTAACTTTTTTATGCTATATCTATCTAGTTTCACTTGCTTTAAGCCCACTTTTACTGATAAAATAGGGAGAAAGTGCAAAGGCCGAAAAATAACGTTTGAATTCCCGCCGAATACCGTAACCCGCGATTGATGTGCAGAGGCTCTTGGAAATGTTTTGTGAAAGTAGGGCGGCGATGGGGGAAAGTGTCGGCAAATATTCTCCGCGTCCGCAGCCAAATTTGATCATGTGGTTGAGGTGAATAATATACCTTTATGGTGGGATATTTGAGGGTAATGTTGTTATATTGTTGTAGGTACTTGGGGATTTGGTTTTTGAAGGTTTTTTTCAGGTTTAAACGAAGATTTTAGGTATATTTCGGGGATATTTTCGAGCAAATAATATGTTTGGTTTAGGACATTTTGAAGATTTTAAGAAATTTAGACTGCTTTGTTACTTTTATTATGTTTTTATAAATTAACGTGATGTTGTTGGGCGTTTTGTGAATAATAATATTATTGTTTTGATCCAGAAGTTTATTTTGCGTATTTTCAGATTCTTGGGCACTTTTTTTCTCATTTTACGTGAAAAAGACCAACTGAGACGCCAAGATGGTAGGTTATTTAATTGTGTTTTATTGTTTTAGATCCACCATAATATAAGGAATTGAAGGAACTTCTTTTTGATGTTTTATGGTTAGGATAGGATCTTTTCTGGCTTTTTTATTTTTTAATACAAGATTCAAGGCTAGTTTTTGTGTAGTATAGCTGGTTTTAGACGATATATTGTATTTTAGGTAACATTTAATTTATCAAATTCTGTTTTTAACTTAAAACTGAGTTAAAACTATGTTTTTCTTTCTAAATATGGATCAAAATCTTATTTTCCTCGATTTCAGGTGAACTTCACTATCGATGAGATCCGTGCCCTTATGGACAAAAAGAAGAACATCAGAAACATGTCCGTAATTGCTCACGTCGATCACGGAAAGTCGACACTGACTGACTCGTTGGTATCCAAGGCCGGTATTATTGCTGGAGCCAAGGCCGGTGAAACTCGTTTCACTGATACTCGTAAAGATGAACAGGATCGTTGTATTACCATCAAGTCAACGTAAGTTAATATTTTGATATTAAATTTGTTTTACAGTTTTTGGTAATTTCTGATGTTGTTTTAGATGTATTTTAGTATAATCTTGATTTGAAAAGAAATTATTTTGCTTGTAAAAAGCTTTTTATTATAATATAGAGCAAAATATAATGTTATAGAGCTATGTTAATATAATTTTCTCATTTTAGTGCCATCTCTATGTTCTTTGAACTTGACACCAAGGATTTGGACTTCATCAAGGGAGACAACCAGATTGAGGTTGAAGGTGGCAAGAAACATAACGGTTTCTTGATCAACTTGATCGATTCACCCGGTCACGTTGATTTCTCATCTGAAGTAACAGCTGCTCTCCGTGTAACTGATGGTGCTTTGGTCGTCGTCGATTGTGTTTCTGGTGAGTTTTACTTTGATATTATAATGTTTTAGCTTTAAAACTTATTAAAATTTATGCTTTGATGAGATTTTTGACTTTTTATTCTTTGAAAATAGATTTTTGATATCTAAAATAAAATATTTTTAGGTGTGTGCGTACAAACCGAGACCGTACTTCGTCAAGCTATCGCCGAACGTATCAAGCCAATTTTGTTCATGAACAAGATGGACCGTGCTCTTTTGGAATTGCAATTGGGTCAGGAAGAACTCTTCCAAACCTTCCAACGTATTGTTGAGAACATCAACGTTATTATCGCCACCTATGGTGATGACGATGGACCAATGGGACCAATCATGGTTAACCCAGCTGATGGTAACGTCGGTTTCGGTTCAGGTCTTCACGGTTGGGCCTACACCCTGAAGCAGTTTGCTGAGATGTACGCTTCCAAATTCGGAATCCAAGTTGACAAGCTCATGAAGAACTTGTGGGGAGACCGTTTCTTCAACTTGAAGACCAAGAAGTGGAGCAGCTCTCAAGAAGACGGTTCCGTTCGTGGTTTCGTTCAATTCGTCTTGGATCCCATCTTCAAGGTCTTCGACGCTATCATGAACATCAAGAAGGACCAGGTTGACAAGCTCATCACTCAACTGAACATCAAGCTGCCATCTGAAGAGAAGGATTTGGAAGGAAAGGCTTTGATGAAGGTCTTCATGAGAAAGTGGTTGCCAGCTGGTGACACTATGTTGCAAATGATCTGTATTCATTTGCCATCTCCTGTGACTGCCCAGAAGTACAGAATGGAGATGTTGTACGAAGGACCCCACGATGATGCCGCCGCTACCGCCATCAAGAACTGTGACGCCAACGGACCATTGATGATGTACGTGTCTAAGATGGTACCGACCTCTGATAAGGGACGTTTCTACGCCTTCGGTCGTGTTTTCTCCGGAAAGGTCGCTACTGGAATGAAGGCCCGTATCCAAGGCCCCAACTATGTGCCAGGCAAGAAGGAGGACTTGTACGAAAAGACCATCCAACGGTAAGTTTATTGATTTATCACTTTTTTTTTAATTTTTTAAAAGTTTGTTTTTATATTTTAATTGTTCATTTTTAGTACTATTCTCATGATGGGACGTTACATCGAACCCATCGAAGATATCCCAGCCGGTAACATCGTCGGTTTGGTCGGTGTTGACCAGTATTTGGTCAAGGGAGGTACCATCACCACTTTGAAGGAAGCCCACAACTTGAAGGTCATGAAGTTCTCTGTCTCCCCTGTCGTGCGTGTTGCCGTCGAGCCAAAGAACGCTGGTGATTTGCCAAAGCTTGTAAGTTTGGTTTTGATATGGTTGTTGATTATTTTGTTTTAAAATTTTTGATTTGGTGTTAATTTTAATATTTAAGGTCGAAGGTCTGAAACGTTTGGCCAAGTCTGACCCTATGGTCCAATGTATCTTCGAAGAGTCTGGTGAACACATCGTTGCTGGTGCCGGAGAATTGCATTTGGAAATCTGCTTGAAGGATTTGGAAGAAGATCACGCCTGTATTCCTCTCAAGAAGTCCGACCCCGTCGTATCATACCGTGAAACTGTCCAATCTGAATCTGACATCATGTGTCTGTCTAAGTCCCCCAACAAGCACAACCGTATCTTCATGAGAGCCGTCCCAATGCCAGATGGTATGGCCGACGACATCGAGAAGGGCGATATTGATCCAAAGGCCGAGCCTAAGGAAAGAGCCCGTATCATGGCCGAGAAGTACGAGTACGACCCAACTGACTCGAGAAAGATTTGGTGCTTCGGTCCTGACGGAACTGGAGCCAACATCGTTATTGATGTCACCAAGGGAGTACAATACCTGAACGAAATCAAGGATTCCGTTGTCGCTGGATTCCAATGGGCCACCAAGGAAGGAGTACTCTGTGACGAAAACATGCGAGGAGTTCGCTTCAACATCCACGATGTCACCCTCCACGCTGATGCTATCCACAGAGGTGGTGGTCAAATCATTCCAACTGCTCGTCGTGTCTTGTACGCCTCCGTCTTGACTGCTGAGCCACGTCTTTTGGAGCCAGTCTACTTGGTCGAGATCCAATGTCCAGAGAACGCTGTCGGTGGTATCTACGGTGTACTCAACAGACGTCGTGGTCACGTTTTCGAAGAAGCTCAAGTTGCTGGTACCCCTATGTTCGTCGTCAAGGCCTACTTGCCAGTAAACGAATCTTTCGGTAAGTTTTGTATAATGTCATATCTCTTATTTATGTATTTTTTATTTTCTTCTTGATTATATTGTGATTGATTTCAGGTTTCACCGCCGATCTCCGTTCCAACACTGGAGGTCAAGCTTTCCCACAATGTGTGTTCGACCATTGGCAGATTCTTCCAGGAGATCCGTTCGATGCCAACAGCAAGCCAGGACAAGTTGTCACTGACACCCGTAAGCGTAAGGGTCTGAAGGAAGGCATCCCAGCTTTGGACAACTTCTACGATAAACTCTAAATTCTTGATTTTCTGATTTGGTTGTTAAAGTTTGTTGGTTCTTAATATAAATGATGTTTTATATTTCTTGTTTGACTTTTATGTTGTTGTATTTGATCATAAACATAATCATACTCTAATTGTTTATTGTTCGTGGCTTTAAATACTACACTTTGTTGGCGGATTCTGTACTTTTCTGGCGTTTTATTCGTTCACGTTCCTTCTTGGCGGCTTCTCTGCGCTGGCGTTCGGCCTGTGAGCGTGCGCGAGCTTCTTCCTCCAATTTATAAAAAGCTTCTCCAATTTCTTGACAGATTTGATTGGCGCAAGAGTCGTTACTTGTTTGTAGAAGGTGAGCTAGACCATGGTCGGCTTCGTTAAGTTGTTCTAGAATCACTAGATTAATGCGGTTATCGTGATCAGCATCGAAGCAAATGCATTGTATTAATTTGTGCATGGCAATTCGTTGAACACACAAGTTGGTTTCGAGGTTTGTCAATTTTATTCCCAACGGCGAGGTTTGCAGGCCAATCAAAATCGATTTTTCGTTGTCTTTTCGGGGTAAATCGCCTGAAACTCTACAATAATATATTAAATATTATTTTTCTTGATAGCTTTTGAATAGTGTAGTAGTATCTAGTCATTTAAAAAGTATATTTTATCTAACAAAACGTTTTAATTTTATATTATACTTGCCTGATATTTGAGCGCAGTCGATTTGGTCGATAATTTGTTCTTCCAGAGATCTGGTCAGCTTATTCTGCTCATCTGTAGGTTGTGAAGGTTGAGGCGAGATTGAGTTTTGGGTGTGGACTTTGATAACGCCAAGGTAGTTTAGTTTTGGGACGTTTTCTGGATTTACTGCCATATTTATTATAAATTTAGGTAACAAAAACGTCAAATCTTATCAGTTTAGGTAACAAACAGTGAAAATATTATAATTTTGAGTAAAAAAATGCGAAAATCTTATTGTTTTAGGTAATAAAAAGGAAAACCTGATTAATTTAGGTAAAAAAATGGCAAGATCTTATAATTTTAGGTAACAAAAAGTGAAAAAATAGATTGAAAGTGAATCAAGAAGAAGAAAGAAGGTTTTCATGGTTTTTCGACGTGATAAGCTCTTTCTTTTACCTTTTTTACTTGTTGGAAGGCGAGGGCGCGGGTTGCGAATAGCTAACGGCTTATTATGAATGTTTTTGTTTGTTGAAAGCCGTTTTAAATTGGAAAAAATCGTCTTCATTTCTTAATTCGGCCGAAAAAAATATTTTTAAAAAATTTTAAATTTTTGAAAATTTTTTTTATTTTTTAAAATTCGAACAAATTTCAATTCCAGGTCAAAATGCCGCCAAAACGGCCGAAACGCTCCGGCTTCTATTTGTACATCACCGCCCTGCCCAAAGATCAACAATTCACTCTATGCTCCAACATTAACAAGTACTACAGTAGACTGGCCCACCTTCTCCATGGCAATTACTACCCCACCACGAGTGGGCATGAGTTCAAGTACGGCGAGAGTGAGGAGAAAGTGCGGCGGATTAAGATATTGGGCGGCTTTGTCGACTGTGACGAGTACATGTATCGTAACCACAATTTGAAGTACTACGATGTCATCGTGACACTGTGCAACTTCTTTAATGAGGTTGACTTGGGTATGTTTGGGAGGGAAAGGTTATGGGGATATTATAGTAGAGGCACAGGCTGGGGGGGTAGAGCGTGAGCTAGAGCTATGAGTAGGGATAAGGATAGGGTGTGGTAGGAAAAAAATATTTTTTAAAGGCGGGGTAGATTTTCAAGGGGTGGCAAATTAAAAATTTTTTTTTGAGTTTTGGTGGACTAGAATTGGCTATGGCACGCAGAAAAATAATATTTTTTTAGAGCGGGGTAATTTTTTAAGGGGGTGGTAATTTTTAAAAAAAACTTTCAGTTTTTTTAGCAATGAAAGGACTGTACTTGCAAGCTAGTAAGCATTATTTTTAATCAGCGGGGTGTTTTTTACAGTAACTTTTATTTTCAGGGATAACCAAAGTTGATCAGAAACGGTTGGAGAAACTGTTGCCAATGATGAGTTTGATAAAATACACAAAAATGTCAATATCAAGAGCCCGTGAACTGGCCATAGCATTGTCAAAGATGGATGAGGGGGAAAGCATCGAAAATGTGATGGTTAGTTCAATTTTTATCGTTTCCTTCCTCTACCCTACCCTACTTTACCCTACCTTACCTTACTCTGCCCTATCATACCCTACCCTATCCGACCCTACCCTACACTATCCTACCCTACCCTATCCGACCCTACCCTACCATATCCGACCCTACCCTACCCTACACTATCCTACCATACCCTACTCTACCTTACCCTGCTCTACCTTACCCTGCCCTATATTACCTTAATCTTGGCACCTCTTCCTGCTCCCTCTCCTTTAGCAAAATTACCCCACCCAGCCCTGCCTTTGTTTTTAAACGTCATTTTATGTCTAAAATACCTAGTTGTTTAGTTCACAACAAAATGCCTGCCCACGGAAATGCTGGTCGCAATGACACTGTGCCGTTGCTACATAATATCAATAAAATCGGCGGAAAGGTTCGACACGGAATGGGGTGGTTCAAACTTTAAAAGAAGCACCGGACCTACGGAACAGCAAAATGGGATTTATTTCGAAACGTGAGTTAAAAATTATATACCTTATCGAAATTGGCAGTTTTAGTTTAGTAAGGACTACTTAACGAAACCGGATTTTTAGAGAAGTTTAGGTAACAAAGTGGGATTTTTTTGATATTTTATGCAATAAAGTTGCATTTTTCCGTTACTTTAGGTAACAAAATTATATTTTTATGATATTTTAGGTAACAAATTGGCCTTTTGATGTTAGTTTAAGTAACAAAATGAAATTTTCTGATATTTTAGGTAATAAAATGACATTTTTCTAGATTTTTAAGTAACAAAATGGCTTTTTTCTGATATTTTAGGTAACAAAGTTGCTTTTTTCTGATATTTTAGATAACAAAATGGTATTTCTTTGACATTTTAGGTAGCAAAATTGCTCTTTTTTGATATTTTAGGTAACAAAATGACTTCCAAATGCCCTAAAATACAATTTTATAATTTTCAATTTTCGAAGTTTTGAAGTTTTCAGTCCATTTTTTCAGAATCCAACGACTACAACAAGAAGAACGAAAGGCCAGAAGGTACTACAAGGAATTGAAAGAATTCTTTGATGAAGAACCTGAAATCTCGAATGAAATTCGAAATTTGAATCGAGAAAACAAAAAATCGGCCGAAATACAATGTGGTGTGTTAAAGTCAGATGTGGAACGACTGGTCGATATGGGGATGAAAGTGAAAGAAGATCATAAAGGAATGGCAGTGGAGTTTATGAAGCAGGAGGAGAGGTTCGATGTTGATAAGGTTGAAGGTAGGTGAATACTTTTTTGAATTGTACCCCTACACCCTACCTCCTAACCCTACCCATTACCCCCTACCCTCTACCCCCTACCCTCTACTTCCTGGCCTTTACCCCCTATCCCCTACCACTCACCCTCTGCCTCATTACATGATCCTTTCCAGAGCTGATTCACCTATGTACTATCAATCCAAAAGCACCCTCCGCCTCCACCCACACCATCCCCACAACACAATATGTGGACCGACAGTGCCGCTGGCGATTTGGAAAAGGACCCACCAGAAGGATAGAAAAAGTGCCAAATGTCGAGGTCACAGAACTGTTTGATTCGTATTTTATGCAAAAGTTTAATACAGTCGAATTCGCTAGAGAATCATCGGCCGGTAGTGATGAGACCGTACCGGCGAGCGAACCCCAGCCAAAGTGAGTCTTTGTGGTGGATTTTTTAAAAATTTTTTGAATTTTTAAAAATTAAAAAAAAATTTTTTTGTTTAATTCTACCCCTCCGGTCTTTTTCTGTACTTACCTCGCCCTTTAATAAAGATGTCTAATTTTGTGCTATAGCCAAGTTTAATCACCCCTCCCCAAAAAATTGCGATTTACCACCCCTACCCGTTGTCTACCCTACCTCCCCCCCCTCCTCTCTTTTACATTTTTTGTAGTTTTTTTAATTACCCCGCCCTCTACGAATTTAAGGCTTATTAAAATCTTTTCAGAAAAAGAGCACCAGCACGTGTCTACAACAAGAAAGACAAGCTAGCAGCATTTGTTAACATGGACGAACCTTCGACAAGTCGAGCCAGCGCTAGGCCAAGGCCTACCAAAACCTCTAAGGTACCAGTTTCTTTTGGAGAAGACGTTCCAGCGCCCTTTGAAGACGATAACGTTTCACAGAGTTCGGAAGACCTCAACGTGCCGGGACCTTCTAAAACATCCAACGTCCCAGGACGTTCTGGGAAAGCCAACGTGCAAAGATCTTCTGAAACCGGCAACGTTCCACGACGTTCTAACAAACGAAGTTTGCAACAGCCCCTTGAAGACCATAACGTGCCAGGGCTTTCTAGAAGCCTCAACGTTCCACGACCTGGGAATGCCAATGTGCCGGGACCTTCTAAAAGCCTCAACGTTCCGCAATCACCAAAAAAGGATAACGTTCCACGGTCTCGTAGAAACGATAAACGACGTTCGAAAAACCGTAGAGCTCCAGGGCCTTCGGAAACAGAAACGGTCTCATGGTCTTCTGGAAACATTGGTTCAGATCAACCATCTACGTCTACCTTCACATCAGAATTCATTTGTAAACAGGAACTGGAAATTGACTTTGATTTACCAACGAAGGCCAGCAATATGCCTCCTCTAAATATAAAGCAAGAAACACCAAGTACGGTGGAGGAAAGTGAAAATCAGGAGCAAAGAAATAACATGGTGAATATAAAAGTTGAAGCTGAAGCTACCAATGAATCGACCAGAAGCTGGTCGGGTTATTTCGCCTTAAAAAAGGAGTTTCAATGAAGCATATTCAGTATAATTTGAACTTGGGATGATGTATAGTGAAGTCATGAACTAAAATGTTATAATAAGAAGATCTCTTACGATTTGAAGATTGCCATTTGGAATTAAACTAGAATTTCATTAATAATTAGAATAATTATAAGGAAACTATGTTACTACTGCTTATTTATATTGTATTTTAACGTGAAGTAATACATGGTTTAATAAATTTAATGTATTATAACTCGGTAACCTTATTTTACATTATTTTATACATTGACCTCAAAATTTATGCGTTTTTCTTCAATTTTACAAGCTAACGTTATAAAAAATAGTTAAAATAGAGTTTTACTTTTCGTATAAGTACAACCTTACTTTATTTCGTCCAGTTACCAGGATTTGCAGGATCCTGTAGTTATGGCCAAAAACATCTGGCGATCCCTTAAAAATCGGCTTGAAATAAAATCCGATAGTTTCTGTGTCATTTCGCTCCGCTTTCCGATAATTTCGTGGCTTTTCGCGCAAAAACATAAAAATGTTGAAAAGAAAAAATTGTGAGGATTCATTGCGTTCTCGCCATATTATCCTCAATATCAGCCCTTTTCTTTGCCATTTTTTATCGAACTTTCTTTTATATCAACGACATCGAACATATTGTCCAAGCCTTTATTGCGTTTTCTGCATAATTAATGTAGAAAATTGAGGAAACGGGTTTATTTGTCTTATGGATTTGAATGCATGAGTGTCTGATCAATTGTTTTTGTTGGTTTTGAACCACTTATTTATTGTTTTTTGATGGGAATTTTGTTGGGGAAGACGGTGGGAAGGAAGGATTCGAGACAGAACTTTCCGTAACGCGTTTTTGCAGCCGATTTCAAGGCCATGAATGCAAAATATGACTATTAATCAACTGGGAAATGAATCAAGATGTTAATTTCTTAAAATTCGGTGTTTTGAGATGTTTTTTGTTAAAGTTATGGGCATGTTTTGTAGTAAAAAGCTTCAAAAATGGCGAAAATTTGATGTACAAGCCAGTTTTTTAGTATCTTCAATATTTTTGATCGGAATTTAAACTTTTTGATCGCATAACTTTTTCAAGTCTATTTTGAAGTGTTTGAGATTAAGATTTTAAAATGTTCCGATCTTATTTTTGATAAAATCTTTAAAAATACTTGAAAGATGGATAATATAAAACAATATCGAGTTGATTCGTGGCTTGATGACAGAATTTCTTAAAAATTGGCATGTAACTAGTCGATGACATAGTTTGTCACTATGCAAATTTTCGAAGCAATCGCAAAAGCCATCGGTCTGTAAATGCATAGAAAAGACTGGTTTGACCTTCTTTTTTGATTTTTCTTCACTTCTTTGGTTGGATGACACAATTTTTTGCAAATTTTTATACTTTTAGTAGCATTAGGTATTTTTTATTGATAAGGACGTATATTATAAACTTATATGGTCTAAAATTATATTTTTTAATTAAAAATCACACTTCTCCCCATTAATCATTCTCTAGGTCAAGTGGTTGATGTCATCATAATCATCCCCCGGCGTATTAAGTGGTTGATGCACTTTTTATAAACGCCTTATCAGTCAAATGAATTTTCGAATTGAAAGCGTTCTCACCTGATTTTCTCGACTGTAAAAATGAATGACACGGCAAGGGGTTTTGTTTGATGAAACCTGATTTTCTGAGCTTATTAGGGGTTGATTTTAAACTTTTTTACATTTTTCGTATTTTCTGATTTAATATAATCATTTTTTAAATTTTGTTTTGTTTTAATGCCGTTTTTGTTGTTTTAAGTTCAGTTTTATACATATTGAAAGATAAGTTTTTTAAAAAAAGATTATTTTTGATCAAAATACAACTAAAAAAGTGGGCTGTTTATGGATAAAGATTGGTTTTTTACTGCTCAAAATACAATTTTGCTACTTTTTCAAAATGTTTTGAAATTTTTAATTTTAACTGCACTGTGCAGTCTTTTTAATGCGCAGTGAATTTTTTAATGACCATTGTTGTTCTTATTTCAAAATTCAAGTTTTTCATTCATTGTGATCTTTTCTAATGTATTTTTAAAAATTTTATGACATATTTTTAATCATTTGTAGTATTAATGGCACTTTAAAGTTATTTATTGCACTGTGCAGTCTCTTTTTGTTTGCACCGTGCATTTTTCTTTGATTGCACTGTGCAGTCCCTTTATTTTTTGCACCGTGCAGTCTCTTTTTGCCTAATGCACTGTGCAGTATCTTTTGTTCTTTATCTTATATTTAGGTTACCCTCGTTGTTTGCGGGTTAATGTTTTATGAAACAGTCGATTAATGTTCTAATTCGATTTCAGAGTCTTATGGGTAGAATTACATTGTAAAGCACGTATTTTTGTTTACAAACTCTTCTTTTACATCAACAACATTCGTAAAAGGTCACGAAGTTGAGAGAAAAGGTAAATTTAGCTTCTTTGTTACCTAAAAATTGTTTTTTAATCTAAAAATTATTTTTATCACTTTTTTGGAGAAGAGCGGTTGGGTTTCAACTAATTTGTATATGATACGGCAGGGTACAAAGTATGTTTTCTGATACTATTTTGAGTATGATACTAAATATTAGGTTAGATCTTAAAATTTTTTATAATTATTTATTTTATGATAAAAGGTATAGGTAAGGATGGGGATATGGGTAGGGGTATAGGTATAAATATGAATATAGGTGTGGATATGGATATTATAATGCTTAAAAAGAACCAAATCACTTTTGAGTTAAAGCGTATCATATTCAAAGTACTTTCAGCATTCATACTGCATTGATTTAGCAGAAAATTATTAACACAAAAAAATTTGATTAAAAAAAACAAAACTAAAATATCCAGACCGTAGGATGCCCGCAGGGCATCCTTTGATCTGGTTTCTATTATTTAAAATTAGTTTTATTACCTATGATTGAGTTTTGTTACCTAAAAGTCATTCTTTGAATTTTTATCAATTTTTAGTTCAATAATGTTTGTTTACTTCATAAATTTTGTTTCTAAACCCCCTTGCTCCCAGAAAACATTAAGTATCACCTAAAAATTCTTCCAGATTAGTGCAAAACCACCGCATCAACAACAACACCATAGCTACCTCAAAATCGGAGGATCGGACGCGTTCGCCAGCGTATGAAGGCGCCGCACCAGAACAATTGGTTTGTATAGATTCGAATCGGGTTGAAATCGTCGTGGAGAAGCACCACCCCTTCTTCGAAATGCCCGTCCAAACCCGCGCCCGCCGCTTGGTCAGCAGTCAGAGCCCGGTGCAGCAGAAAAAAGCATTTGTAAGTTGAATTTTTGTTAGTTTTGTTGATGTTTAGGTATAGAGGATGATGGAGAAGATATTAGTGTAGCTGTATGGCATTTTATAGGCTTTTTGGCTTCGGGTTATAGTTTTTTTTTGGCAGATTATTGACTGCACGGTGCAGTTTTTCAGTTCTTTGCCTCATAATGGAATTTTTGCCATTTTAAGCTAAAAAATCAGGTTTTTTAAAAATGAACTTTAAGAAAAATGTTTAAAAATCGAATTTTTAAGCTTAATTTCAATTAAAATTTTTTAATTTTGAGGTGATTTTTTTGATGTTACATCGCACTGTCCAAGCAATTTTTTCAAAATGCTATTTTTTATTGAACGCTGCGGATTTTTTAATAGATTATGACATTTTATAATGCAGAGGGAGATACTGAACGTTAATAATTGCTTTTTGATGTTTAAATTTTAAAGATTTTCAAAAAAAATTAATTTTTTAAGTTTTGACTGCACTGTGCAAATTTATTCACTGCACAGTGCGAAAAAATTTAAAATTTGGAATTTCAAACTCAATTTTTCAGAAAATCTGGCAGTATCTTCGCTCAACGGTCGACAACGTTTGCGATGCGTACATTGAGAAAGACTGTCGTCTAGATCATCAACAACTTCAAGGTCTTCGAGATCACAAATATGCTTCAGCCGGCTACAGTTTCATGGACGACCTATGCATGCAACGGTTCTGGAACTGGGTAGTCGAGTATTATCCGATGTGGCTGGCTCCAAATTTGATAACATTGATTGGATTGATTATAAATTTACTGACTGTGCTGGTTCTGTCACATTATTGTTATACAGCCACTGAGGAGGTAATGGTTTACTTTTTGGTTTTTGTGTGTTTAGGTAACAAATTTGCGTGTTGATTGATTATATAGCATTCACAAGAGTCTTCAGAAGCTTATAACACTCATTTGGGTGTTGTCTAGGGTATTTGAATTATGAAAATTGAGGAAAAATGGATAAAAAAGCATCAAGATGGGATGGAAAATATATTTTGTGATTTTTAGACGAAACGTGATATTATAGGGAAATTTTTTGTGTTCTTTGTTATTATACTGGTTTATAGAGGCTTTTGAAGCTATAGAACTGAGGTTTTGTATCTGTTTTGTTGCGAATCATTAAAATATTTAATTTTCAGGCACCAAGATGGGCCTACCTCCTCGCCGCCCTAGGCCTCTTCTGTTACCAAACCCTAGACGCGACCGACGGAAAACAAGCTCGTCGTACAGGATCATCAAGTCCATTAGGAGAACTGTTTGATCATGGTTGTGATTCAATGACACAAGTTTTTGTCACACTAAACATGTGTTTCGCTTTCCAACTGGGACTCATGAAGAACATGGTGTGGATCGCGGTCATGATATCAGTCTCAACGTTCTACGTGGCACATTGGAGTACGTTCTGCACTGGGCATCTTAAATTCAACAGGTTCGACGTGACAGAAGCGCAGGATGTTATAATTTCGGTCTTATTGAGCACGACTTTGTTCGGCCCTTCAGTTTGGGACACCTCGGTTAGTTTTTGCCATATCTTTTGAGGGGGTGGGTGGAAATGGATGAAAATTTGGGTGAAGGAGGGGAAAAGAATGGGGTTTAAAATGGTTGCTGTGGTTTTGGTAATTTTTTTGGGATGGGCGTGGAAATTTGAATTTTTTTGAAAAATTTTGGGTGTTTTGGAATTTTTTTTTCTTTTTTGATTTAAAGAAAGCTAATGATATTTCAGAAGCAACAATTAAAGGAATTATGAAAAAGGATGTGATAAGAGTTTTTTGACATATGGTGTTAATAAAAAATGTCATTTTTCAGATTTTTGGCATCATCACCGTGAAGACCTTGATGTTATCAGGTGGATGTCTAGGAATGATAAATCAAGTCGTTGTATACTTAAAAAGCATTTTCTCGGAAGGATCTGGCAAAAATGGATCTACTGTGGCGGTAAGATATTGATTTTGAGAAAAAAAAATTTTCTTTTGAATTTTTGAAAATTTTTGGTTTTAATGGTTTTGGGGGATTATTTTTTAGGTAAATTATGGTTTAAAATGACGTTTTGAAATAAATTAAATTTTTTTTATTATAGTTTTTGAAATTTTGAATTTTTGCCATTTCAGGACACATCAGTGATATTCCCTTTGTTCCCACTACTCTCCGTCCTCCTACCCTTTTGCATGATCTACTCAAAGTCGACCAGTGGCATATACGATGCCAACATAACCCTCTTTGCCTTATGCTTTGCTGCCGTAGGCGCAAAAGCCACGAATCGACTAGTCGTAGCCCACATGAGCCGCTCGCCCGTAGGCATCTGGGACTGGATCTACCTAAGCCCACTGCTCATGATCATCAACCAGTACTACGACTTTTACTTTGACGAACTCAAAATCCTCGTCATCGCCACCATATACGCATACTTGAGTCTACTAGTGTACTGTGTCTACATTTGCCATCAGTTCTGCAACTACCTTGATATATACTGCTTCAAGATTCGCCGCTCCGCTCAAAGTCCAACCACTAGCTCGTCGATAACAAAAAGGTCGTCGGAAACTAAGAGGAATCGATAAATATTGACTTTTGAGTTGTTTTTGGTTAGAATATTGTTTTTTAGGTCGATTTATGCTTAAAAAACGATTTTGAATGTTTTTGGCTAAAAATTTTAGTTTTTCATAAGTTTTTGGCTAAAAATAGATGTTCGGGCAGTTTTTTGGATCAAAATTGGGTTTTGAGTCTTGATAAATTGAAAATTCGACTTGTTACCTAAAGTTTAATTTTTTGGACTTGTTACCTAATATACCATTTTTTCGCTTTTGTTATTAAAAAATTCAATTTTTTAAGTTTTTGTTACCTAAACTTCAACTTTTCGAATTTTTGTGACTTAAAAACCAATTTTTGGTGTAATTTTTACCTAAAATTCAATTTTGAGGATTTTGTTACCTAAACCTTGAATTTTTTAGTTGATCTTTTAAAATTTTTATTATTGCATCGATTATTACCTAAAAACCCATTATTTCATACTTATTGATACCTAAAATTCAATTTTGCGACCAAAACTCATTTTTCATTTTCCGCAACTTTTTGAAAACCGAACTGAGTCGTCTTATTATGAGCTCTTATTATTGATACTGACTCTGCTTTTCCATTCTTCGCACGATTACTGACTTAATTATTAAATTTTAGTATAAAACATTGATTTTTATCTTAATTTTTCGGATTTTTTTGTTTTGAAGCTGGTTTTTATTCGTTTTGCACGGGGCAATCAAAAGGTACTGCACGGTGCAATTGGTTTCATTTAGAGACTGCACGGTGCATTTTAAAAGAGACTGCATAGTGCAATCAAATAAAAGGCTTCACAGTGCAAAACAATAAAAGGCTACACGGTGCATCCGTAAGAGACTGCACGGTGCATTTTAAAAAGAGACTGCACAGTGCAATCAAATAAAAAGCTGCACAGTGCAAACAAAAAAGAGGCTGCACGGTGCAATCGAAAAGGCAAGGCTTTATGACTCTACCTAATATTTATAGAGTAATGTAAATTACCGAAACAATTTTATGGTGAAATACGACCATATTTACAATATTTTATTTCAAAAAAAAGGTTAATAATTCCAAAATTTTTGAAATTGCAAAATTACAGTAAGAAAAGCTACCAAAATACCAAAATTTTAAAAAATTAAAAAAAAACAGTAAGAAATAGGTCTGCATTTACAAAAAAATGTCTAAAATAAGAAAAAAAGTATCTAAAAACCTTTAAAACTCTGTTTTTTACAATTTTTTAGCCAAAAGGTAGGATAATATCGAGAGAATCAAAGGAAATCCAACGAAAATTGAAAGACTTGGCGCTGAGTTACAGTAATCCCGGTTGTTACAGAAGCAGTAATAAAAGGTTTTTGGTGGGTTTCCACCATCTGTGTAGTTGTAACATCGACCGGATTCGATTGTTGAAGTGTTTGTGGTCGAACTGAACGTGGTCGAGGCACTGAAATGGTCGATTTTTAGTTGGAAATTTGAAAAAATGGTCGATTTCAGATATAAACTTTTATAAAAATGTTTATTTTCTATTTGGATTTTGAAAACGGTCGATTTTTTGGTTGAAAATTAGGAAAAACAGTCAATTTTTAGACGAAAATTTAGAAAAACGGTCGATTTTTAGTTAGAAATGAGAGAAAACGGTCGATTTTAAATTTAAAAAAAAGGAGAAAACGGTCGATTTTGGAATGAAAGTTCGGAAAAACGGTCGATCTTCAACAAAAAAAGGGAGAAAAGGGGTCGATTTTGAGTTGAAACTGAGGCAGAATCGACCGAAAGGTAATGTTGGTTACAGTAGGATAGGGTAAAGTAGGGTAGGTTAGGGGAGGGTAGGGTAGGGTAGAGTAGGGTAGGGTAGGGTAGGGTAAGATATGCAAACACTTACTAGCAATCACTTTTGTACGTTTTATATCCTGTACCATGAAAGATTGGGTCGATAATTTTGACACAAAATTGACCGGTCGAACAGGCATTATTCGGATTGTCACATGGATTGATAGTGTCATGCCTTGGTGCATATCCTCGTCCGTTCCAGCCGGAACATTGAAGACAGTTGATACTGTAACTGGGGGTTATGTAGGTAGTGAGTACGGTAATTGTGAGGAGATTATTGTAGCTGGACTTCATTTCTAAAAATTAAAATTAAGGGGAAGGGGGTAAAAAACACGTACCTACCCTACCCTACCCTACCCTACCCTACCCTACCCTACCCTACCCTACCTTACCCTACCCTACCCTACCTAGACAAAAGTTCTGCACTAAGCACTACCAGTGTGACAAACTTTACTCTACTTCCAAAGACAACAATAGTACGATGCAAAAAACCAACCTGACAATGAGGGAAGATTCGTAAAGTCGTCGTCGGCTATGGCAGAGTACTTTTTCGAAACAATCGGTATCCATGACGTCCCGAAAATAGAGATCGGCCAAGGTTTTTGGTCAGGATTTCGAAATTTCAAAGGGCTTGGCAACCGGCTGGCACCAAAAAAAGTTTTGTAGGATGGGGTGGGGATGAATTTGGGTAGGATTTTGGCATGACTAGGATGAGGGTGAAGGTGGGACTAAGACTAGGACTAGGCTAGAGTTGAGTTGGGGTTTCACTAGAGTAGAGCTAGACATGAGAAACGGGCTGGGTCGGGCCGATGTTTTAGGCCGTGCCATGAAAATGTACGAGTGTCAAGCCCGGCCCGACCTAAATTTTGCTCAGGCCCGGCAGGGCTTTGATTATCAGGCCCGGAGCGCTTAAAATTAAGCCAAGGCCGGCCGAGCCCGTTTTTCGTGTCAAAGCAGAGCAAGATGAGGAATACGGTAGGTTTTGATAATTTGCAATAGGAATACTTTCAGGCTAGGGTCTAGCCTAAGGCTCTGGGCTAGGGCTCTGGGCTAGGGCTCTAGGTTAGGGCTTTAGGCTAGGGTTCTGGTCTAGGGCTCTGGGCTAGGGCTCTGGGCTAGGGCTCTGGGCTAGGGCTCTGGGCTAGGGCTCTGGGCTAGGGCTCTGGGCTAGGGCTCTGGGCTAGGGCTTTAGGCTAGGGCTAGGGCTCTCGGCTAGGGCTCTGGGCTAGGGCTCTGGGCTAGGGCTCTGGGCTAGGGCTCTGGGCTAGGGCTCTGGGCTAGGGCTCTGGGCTAGGGCTTTAGGCTAGGGCTCTGGGCTAGGGCTTTAGGCTAGGGCTCTGGACTAGGGCTTTAGGCTAGGGCACTGGGCTATGGCTCTGGGCTAGGGCTCTGGGCTAAGGCTCTGGGCTAGGGCTCTAGGTTAGGGCTTTAGGCTAGGGCTCTGGGCTAGAGCTCTGGGTTAGGGCTCTGGGCTAGGGCATATCACTTTATTTTTAAAAGTTTTATTATTACAAAAAAGTGAATAACCTTATTAATGAACAATTTTGAATATTTACTAATATATAAAACAATATAAATAAAGATTTTTTTGATTATATAAAGTTATAGTTTGAAAGACTTTGGTAATATTACGTTACAATGGTAAATTTAAACAATTCACAACATATATATTTATAAATTATAGTACATTAGGATGTTCAAATAACTCTGTGCCTTCTCTAAAAGAAAAGTTCATATAATTCTGTGCTCTCTCTAAAAGCAGAGTTTATATAATTATGTGCCCCTTTTCAAAAAAAAAGTTTGCAAGCTTAGGGAGCACAGAATTATATGAACAACCAAATACAAGACTAGAAGTGTTCACCATGTCAGCAAAAGTGCACCGTGCAAAAAGTGTCATAATTTGTGACACGTTTGACCATATTTTAAATTTTAAGTATGAAACCAATGATAAAACTATGTAGTTTTTAATTCTATAATTTAAAAAGAAATTTGTTTTGTAAATTTTTTTAAATTTTCTTCATTTTAAAAAAATCTGGACTTTTTTGACGGCACCGTGCAAAAATTGCCATAACTTATTGAAGGCTTGATCAAAACAGACCATTTTAAGCTTATATAACTCTTAAGACTATACAAGTTCAAATTTTCAAAACTTAAAATTTTAAAAACTTCAATTTCATGCAGTTTCACGTCGATGAAGTTGAAGGTAACGCAATACTCCGAACCAAACCTTTAGTTGAGTCCTGAATGCTCCTGGCCGTGCCAATCGGAGGCAGCACGTTCCTACCCACAATCATATGCTCCTGACTGTTCGGCCGACTATTGGCCGCGCTTTGGACTAGCGATGGGCTTGGCATCACCTTGTGTTGCTTCTGAGTCGACCTGCAACATGTTGTCCTGATGAACATGTACAAAATGAATCCGATACAGAACCATAAGGCCAGATTGTAGCCGGCAAATGATAGCAACTCGAAGAAGGATGGATTGGGCTGGTGTAGCTTTTCAATTAGGTCGGTCGAGTCGTAGGATACAGAGAAGGAGGCGACGAAGTCGGCTGAGGCGGGGTTTTGTTGGACTGAGACCTTGGGGTTGTAATTGACTCTTTGACATGGTATACGGGCCTTGCTGTAAAGAATGTCATATCAATTGTACAAAATAAAAACATTAAATTAATCTAAAATACGAGGTTTGATAAAAATTTTCAATAAAAAAACCTATAATCGACCGTTTTGCGCAAACAAAATTCAAATCTCGAAAATTCCGCCGAAAATAAAAAAACCTTGGCATTATGAAGCAAATATCTTGCAATGTGAATTTCTTATCCTACATCATGTTTGTTACTCTAAACTCTTATCTTAACCCTCTTTGTTTCTGAAAAATTTCAAATTTCAAAAATCCCGCCAAAAATATAAAAACTTGGAAGTTTGCAGCAAATAATTTTAAATGATAATTTTGAGTTGTAAAATACGTTACATAAAACCATTCCACTGAAACAAGGATTAAACCATTTTTAACAACAAAAAATTCAAATTTCAAAAACCCCGCCAAAGAAGAAAAAACGTTTTGCATTCTGCATCAAATGACTATAAATGATGCTTTTAAGTTGTAAAGTACGGTATTGACAGCCGAACATGTATTAAAATCCGTATAAGTCCATTTTGTCACAATAAAAAATTCAAATTTTAAAAATCGCGCCAAAATCCTTAAACTCTGGCATTCTGCAACAGGTAATTTAAAACTAAAAAATAACTAAAAAAAGTGTCATTCTATACCTTTTACACGTCCTCAAACTCGTGGCCAATTTATTTTTAGCCGTACTAACATCAGTAGTCCAATAATTAGGTCGCGAGACCTCCATGAACGCTCGTGAACATCGATCATATTCTCCAGCTGTGCAAATTGAAGTGGCATTTAATTGACTGATCAGTTGACTGAAAATTACATTTTTAACTGTATTTTATAAAACTAAAAATGATTTTTAAAATTTCACTTTTTCAGGTCTAAAATCAAAAAAAAAAATATTGCACGGTGCAATGCAAAAATTTAAAAGTGCAATAAAATAGCAGACAAACGAAAAATGTGATTTCTGTATACACATTACATAAAGAAATGCCATAAGTAGAACAAAAAGTACTTTCTAAAATACGAAGCTGCATGGTGCAATAAGAAACGGCACAGTGCAAAGAAAAACTGCACAATGCAATAAAATACCTTAAAATTCCAAAAATGCCATTTTTAAAATCTAGGCAACAAAAAAATTAATAACTTTACTATAAAACGTTATTTTCAACCAAAAAAGTTCAAGATACAATAAGAAATGACACTATGAAATAAAAAAACTGCAAAGTGCAACAAACCTCTGCACAGTGCAATAAAATTCTTCACGGTGCAAACTTTTTGCAATATCTTTAAAGTAAAGCTTTACCCATTAAAATCTCCACGATAAACCCATAGTACCACGCTGAGCGGTACACATTTGCACGTTTTGATTGATTCTTCCACTAGACATTGAGGTAGCGAAGGCTTAGTCGATTTGGTCGAATCTGAATTATGAGCGTCTTCTGAAGACTCACCACAATGTCCACCCAGGTAGGATACAGTCTGAAAATGTCAAAAATTTTTTCTGAACTATTTTTTATTAAAAAAACGTTATTTTTGAGCAAATTTGAAACTAAAAAATTCAAATTTTTAATTTCCCGCACTTTTTGGCATAACGTTTTAAATAGGTTTTAAACATTTCTAATGATTCTCAAATAAAAAACGTCATTTTTACACTATAGAAATAAATTTTTGATCAGCTTTTTTAACTTTATTTGACTTTGAAAACGCTTTAAACTTTTGGCGGGATTTTGAAAATTCAAAATTTTAATAATTTTTTTGACTTTATAGTAGAAAAAAATTAACTTTCGGCAAAAATATAACTGGCTATCGCCTTTAAAAAGCCGTTTTCTTATTTTTAGGTACCTTAGTGCAGAATGCCAAGAATATTAATTTTGGCGGGATTTAAAAAATTCAAAACTTTTTATTAAAAACTCGTTAAAATTTAAGCAAATACAAATGAAATCAATGTAAAATACAACAAAATTTCGTATTTTTATTATTTTTCCCCTTCAGCTAAACAATTTCAAAATTTTTTAAAATTTTATTTTTTAAAAACTTACCTCCTTCTGAATCCTCACACTAAAATCTTTGCCGGAAGACACCTCAATGGGATCCTCTAACTCAGTAGCCAGTCGAAGAGAACTCGTTTTTGGTGATTTTATAAACATTTTTATGCCTGGATGCTTTACTGGACTGAATGTTGATGAACTTATCTGAAAATTTTTTGTCTTTAAACGTTTTTAAATACATATAACAACATGAAATTTTTTATACAGCTTCCCAAGGACACTAGCTAACCAGAAATAAAGTTTAAGCTTAAATTAATATATAGTTTTTAAGAAAAAAAATTTAAAATTTAAGAAAATTTCAAGAATTCACCAAAACATGAGAAAAAATGTCATTTTTAAACGTAGGGTTTATGAAAAACCTTGCAACTTCGAATGAGTACTACTAATAACACCAGTAACGTCTTGTGTCTAGTTTAATTTAGATCTGGCGCTTGGTATTTGGGATACAGAGCTTTAAAGTTGTCAAAACCTCAAAAAACGCTCAAAAATTAAAAAAAATTCCAAACTTTTTGCTTTTAAAGTGCATTTTATTACCTAAACTTAAAATTTTGTATTTGTACTAGCTAGCACTACTACTGCTACTGATTCTAAAACCATAATACCATACCAAATCTAGGTTATTCACATCAAAAGCTTAAATTAAAGTTGTCAATATCCCCAAAAACAACAAAAAATCCAAAATTTTTCAAAACTTTTTGTTTTTAAAATGCATTTTATTACCTAAACTTAAAAATGTTTTCTTGTACTATATAGTACTAGTACTGGTACTTATTTTAAAATCATATTACTATAGAAAATATAATTTATTCACATCAAAACCTTACTTTAAAGTCCAATCGCACCCCTTGATCCACGTGAAAACTCTCCTGTGTCACATTCTCAGCCTCAAAAACATAACACAACCCCTCCAATGTAGACAAATAAGGCTTGACAAACGTCGCACAACATTCAGCACCACTCATCACTGCCCCCTGCACCACACATTGGTCCAAAAGTTCGGGGCATGGGAGGAGAAAGCTGTCCAAATGCTGTTTGAAGGAGTCGCCCAACAAGCTTTGGCTGATAATGCCTTCGGCGGCGGTGGCACTACTCGAGTTTAGTGGTACTGTTGATGGGTCTGAGCCGTATGAGTGTTCTAGCCATAAACGGAGGTACTGTAACACAATTTGTTGGTTAAAGGAGGGTCCAAATCGATCTAGACTGGATTGGGAAAGGGGAATTTGTTGCAAATTATCAGTGATGGGAGGGGTTGGCGGTCGATTGAGTGGCTGAAAATGAAGGTTTAGGTATATTTTTAATAGGTATGGTAGAGTAGGTTAGGGTAGGGTAGGATAGGGTAGGGGAAAGTGAATTAACGTAGGCCAGAGTAAAAACACCCCTCAAACTTTTTTTAAAAAATTTTTACCTTGCCCTATCAGAATTTCATTATTTTTTTGCATTCTCTTTATGTAAATACAGAACATTTTTTCAATTTTTACCCTGCCCTATGACCACATAAATGTTTTTTACTTAAGACTACTTTTTTTGCACAGTGCAACGAATTTATTTCTCAGTGCCATATTTAATAAAACCCCAGAAAAAATAACGTTGCAAAATGCGTTTTTAAAGCTAAATTAATTAGAAATTTTAAAAAAATAAAAATTTTATAAAATTTATTTTAAAAAAATATTTTTTTGCGCTGTGCAGCCTTTTTTCTGCACAGTGCATAACTTTGTTGCATAGTGCAAAGTTATATTGAAGATATAACTAAAAACTTTATTTTGATTACAAAAACTAATTTTTGAAATTTTAGAACTAAAAATGGCATTTTACTGCACTGTGCAAGTTTTAAATTTTATAAAATTTCACGGCGCAGTCATTTTTTTTAATTTTGAAATTAAAAAAAATTAAAGAAAAAACATTTTTCATTATTAGTTCTAAAGGTTTCTGATAGTCTATTTCTTAATTTAACACTATCTTTCAACCATATTTATTAACAATGTCATTTTTTTGCACTGTGCAAGCCTTAAATTGAAAAAAATTGCACGGTGCAGTCATTTTTTCAAATTTTTAAAATCTTAAAACAAAATAAAAATCTTAAATCAAAAAATATCCTTACCGACTCTCCACCACCTTCTGATACCCTTTGACATACTCATGCACGAACATCAGCGTATGTATGGCCCATAGTAGAGTACAGGCTATGGCTACACAAAATAATAGAAGCCAGCGCTTCATGCTGGCTACAAATCTGAAATGACCAGAAATACAGTTTTGAGTCATTTTCTTTCGTATCGAGGCCTGATTCAGTCCGGAATCCGGAAAAAAAGTAATTTTAAAGGTCAAAAGAAAGTGAGAAAAGTTGGTACAGTAAGATCATGGAAATGAAATTAAAGTGATTTCTTTAGTAATATTGTGAGTAATAAAGTAATATAAACAAGGTTGGACATTTTGAGGTGGGATAGGTTACGGTATTTTGGTTACAAGGAAGGTAAGGGAGGGTAAGGTAACGTTTGGTAGGATAAAATAGGGTAAGGTAAGGTAGAGTAGGGTAAGGTAGAGGCAAGTAAGAGTAGAAATACCTTCGTCTTTTCACTCTCGCGCTTGAAAGCAAAAACATCCCCTAAAAACTATTTTTTTAAACTTTTACCCCGCCCGATAGACATTTATATATTTTTTTGCCCGCCCTCAAATAATATAACTATTTTTCATGTTTACCACACCCTACAAACATATCAACATTTATTTTAACTCTTACCCTTCCCCATCTCCGCTATAAACATTCTTTTCATATTTACCCCGCCCTCAAGTAAATACATTATTTGTACCCCGCCGTTCAAGAAAATGATCACTTTTTCTATTTTACCCTACCTTGTTACCTTATAACTATTTTTTCATTTTCTATCCAACCCTACCCTGCCCTACACTACCTACCCCCCCCCCTCCCCTTTCAAGCCCTTCTTTTCCATTTCACCCCGCCCTCCGGCCGCCGACCATATGGCCATTCCTTGTCGGAGGGGCCAACTTTAACGAGTGACCATGGAAGAAAGAGGCGCCTAAGCGGTTTCGGCCATTCCATGTTAAGGTAGTCAAGGGAGACGAACTGGGAAAGGCTTCCAAATGACCATACAAGATTATATGGAATCAAGCATCATAATAACATGGTTAGCGCCATTACTTTACAGGAAAAGTGGGTGGGGACAAAGTGTTTTGCTTATTTTAGCGTTTTAATGGGCAAAAAGGTATATTATAGTAGGTTTTTGGCCATTTTAAAGGGTTTTTAATAATTTTTAGGTAAAAAAACATTATTTTAGGTAATAAAATTAATATTTTTTTGATAAAAAATCAAATTTCCCATTTTTTAAAACAATAAAGTATTTCAAAGCCTACTGTAGTTTCAAATAAAACCACAACAACAAACAACGGTGATTGCACGGTGCAATGACCAAAATATGATTGCACCGTGCAATAATAAAAATCTTAAATTTTAAATATGTTACCTAAAATCAAAATAGTTGAAAATATTTGCCTAGACAAATATCAGAAAGTACTAAATTACTGTCAAAACGAATTTTTTATTTTGTGGGATTTAAGCCCCTTAGGGTTTACTAAAAAGCGAATGCACAGTGCAATGAGCAAAATATGATTGCACCATGCAAAGAAACCAATTTTTTAATAAATAATAAGACGCAAATATTAGTTTGGACAGTAAAAAAGATAATAAAAATGCAAATTAAGCTTATGTTGGCTTAAAAATATTGTAGTAGAGACCAGGTCCAAAAAAATTTTTCACCCTTGAATAAAACAATACCTTATGACTTAATTGACATTTTCTTTATCAAATCAGCATTTAGTAGCCCTAAGCGTCTCATTTTAAAAAAGTTTTTGAAAAATTTTGTAAAATACGCACAACGCCGATTTTTTAACATTTTTGATTGCACGTTGCAAAAAAATACAAAAGTCAACAAAAATGTGAAATATTATCCCACCACCAAAAAAAATCACGAAACGATGTTTTTATGTTGTTTTCGACCATACCGGAAAGCAATTTGGTCTCGAACACATCAAACTCTTACTCCATACCTACTATAATATACTTTTCGCCATTTCTCGCAAAAAGACAAACATTTTAGTCAACCCGACATTCGGACCGTACTAAAACATCAATGATAATAGGGGTGCTAAAAGCGCATTGTCCATTTTCAAGTGTCAACGGCCGAAAACTTTAAAAAATGTTTAGACAGCCGGCTGCCACAAATTACCGGAAGAACGGTCGGCCGCACAAGGTCAGGCCAAAAAAATATAGGACTGCTATGACGACCGTGTTCACAAAAGAATTCGTTGACTGGTCAGAGGACTTTTGTTGCTTTTTGCCTGCGGGGAATTTAAAAAAATTGAAATTTTGAAGTTTTTCGAAATTCCATTTTAAAAGGTCATTTTTAGAATAAATATGTATTGTTTGCCAAAGAAAAGGCTTTCAAATGAAAGGCTTTATAAGCCTAAAGCAAGTTTTAAAAGCTGTAAGAGACTGCACGGTGCAAACAAATAAAAGTCTGCACGGTGCAATAGGGACGTCGCTACGGTTTTCTCTGGGGGGGAGAGAGGGAGACCCAAAAAAATTTTTGTCGTTTTTTCACGTACAGGTACCTTACCTGCAACCAAACAGCGACTGCACAGGACAACCAAAAGAAGGCTGCACAGTGCAGTCAACAAAAAAGTCTGCACGGTGCAATCAAAAATAATATAGAAAAATGACCTTATTATCGCAATTTTTAAAGTTAAAATTTATTCGCGGTGATTTACACGTTTATATTAGGCTTATATTAAAGCAGTGGTAAGTGAAAAAAAATCATTTCAAAGGTAAATATAACAAACTTTGACGTCTTATACCAACATGTTAACAGTTAACCAACATCTCGAGACAAACACGCCAAACAAAGTGAACCAGATCGATATTAACATGAAGAATATATTTTGAAGATCAGCAGCGATAAGGAAGTGACCACGAGCAATGGGTTGGTACCATCTAGTAGACGAGCATCGTTCTCCTGAAAATATTCATTTTAGGTAACAAAAATTCAGAAACATGATCGTTTAGGTAACAAAAACTCAAAAAGATGCTGAAGAAACTTTTGTCCCTTCATAACATCAATAGAAAGATCAAAACTTACTCCAAGCTTGAGTAATATGTGAGCTTTATTAATAGATGACAACATGTCATCCTTGACGACCAATTCCGATAGCTGCTCCAAGAACTGTTTTGCCGAATATCCTGTCCTCACAAACTCTTGGCAGTTGTTTATGACATTCTTGGCGTTCTGCATCTTCAAGGTATCAAAGAAATGACTCATCTGATCTTCAGGTATCTGTCCACAAATCTGAGCCACACTGTCGGCCGTGATCACATCGAATCCGAGGCTCAGCGACTGTAGACGAGTGATGGACTTGCGAAGATCTCCATCTGAGAGCGAGATCAGCTGATTCAGGGCTTCGTCCGTGACACTGAGGTTTTCATTGGATACGACGTATTTTAGGCTAGAAATATCACATTTTAATGAATATCTTAACTTTTTAAAACAAAAAATATAGGCAACAAGCTAGTAACATTATCAAAAATCATGTTGAAAATTGTCAAAATGCTGTTTTATTCTCTAAAATCGACCAACATTTCAAAAAGTCTGTAAAAATCCGCCCGATGCAATAAAAAAGCTCTAGTACACGCCTATACCATAATTTTAAGAAATCACTTCCATCAAACGTTCGGCCATTTAAAAATGCATGTCTTTGCCAAATTTCAACTTACCCGAGCTTCTACTTTTTAAAATATATCAGATTTTCCAACACCTCCCAAGATCTGCCCTCAACAACAATATAAACTGCTATTTCTGCTTTCAAACCTCGTTAATCCTCAACCACACAACTTACCGGTCAATCTGCGACTCAGCCGGAAGAGGTTTGAACCTGAACTTCACACACCTCGACGCCAAAGGCCCAATAATTCGACTGACGTAGTTGCAAATGATAAAGAATCTGGTGGTTCGGCACTCGCTTTCCATGATCCTCCTCAAAGCCATTTGAGCAGCCGATGTCATCGCATCAGCTTCATCAAGAATAATGACCTTCACCGAAGATGCACACTTCTTGCTGGCCGTGTTCTTGACGTTTTGCTGAGCAAAAGTCTTGATCTAAACATCGAATATCCACTATAATATCAAAGACTCACCTTTTCTCTGACCACCGCAATTCCTCGTTCGTCTGACGCGTTCAGCTCCAAAACACGGTTGATATAGGTATCTGGGTCACGATATAACTGTTTGCAAACGGCTTTGGCGGCTGTAGTTTTGCCTGTGCCTGGAGGACCATAGAATAACATGTGTGGAAGCTAAAACAAATTAAATTTCTATTAAAATATTCTAAAATTAAAGTAAAATCCATGGAAAACACTTATCCAAACATTAATTACATACAAAAATACGTTAAAAAAGCCGAAAACAACTTCTCCTTGATAAACCAAGTAAAACAACAGCAAAGCTTACATCATTTCCTTCTAAACACTTAGTTAAAGCTGAAACCACCTCTTCTTGATACGAAATCTCTTCTACCTTGTGTGGACGACTAAAATTAAAAGCAATATAAAGGATAACAATCTAAAACTTACTATTTCTCAACCCATGGAGCATTCAAAGCCTTTGGTTTCTCCTTTTTCGGCTGATCTGTCGAAGTCGGAGTATCGAACATAGAATAATGGCCTGACGTTGTTGACATTCTCCTCTCAATGGCAATTTTACTCTGAAAATATATTCTCCATGATTCTTTTTTCTCCAATCGCGCCAATTCGAGACTCCGCAGTTCGCGCACTCTATTTTGCAAACCAGAAGCGCGATGTTATACTTTGAAAAAATATTTTTCTCTTTTCTGCCTTTATTTTCACCAAAGACAAGTTGTTTTATAAAACAAAACTGGTTAATATTCTTTTTCTTTACTTTAATCTTTTTTATTGTTTGTTTTAATCGTTTTCATTCGTTTAGATTGATTTAAGCTTAAAAAACTACATTATTTAGGTAATAATGACCTCAGAAGAGTCTCCATTGCAAAGGATATTGAAGAATCTTGGACCTCAAACACCAAAGGATTATGGATCGGCTAAAGCATATGCAGATGAAGTGAGGAAATGGCACATAGACACGTATAACTGGTTAAATTCTCAACATCAGCATTATGTATCTACAAATCAAGTTAATGTAAGTTTGTTTTGCTTTTTTATTTCTATTTTTAGGATGTAAATGTTGCTGAGGAGGTTTTAAATGGTAATAACAATGGTCTGAGGCATCGTGGACCGGCTGTTCGTCGAGTATTTCAATTTGTTATACCAAGAAATCAGATAGGTGGTGTAATAACAGAAGAATGCGAGCTGGCGACATCGTCACGCAGACTTATTGCTGAAGCTACTGATTTTATTCTTTTAATGTTTCTGAAGATGGTTCTGCTTTATGTTTTGATGGATCTCGAGCTAATGTGAGTTTTATATAAAGAACTTTATGAGAGCGTCAGATGAGCCATGGTTAACATCGGTTTTGATGCGTCTTTCATTGAATTTTGATTGATATGGCTTCAGTTTCGTATTAATAGCTTTATTAGTATCTGACGGTCATTTTGATGTGAATTTTAGCGTTTATCATTAACTTTAACATGCGAAAAATATGATTTTAGAGACCTGGATTACCTGGAAAACTTGTTTTCGGCTGCCAGTGATTTCGACACGTTAATTAAGCTTACCAGGAGTTTGTTTTATGCCGAACTAGTGTCTAAGCTAGTTTCAACGATATTCGAAGCTCTGTTTGTTACATATGGTTTTCGGAACATACCGAGAGGAAGTACGCCAGGCAAACATCTTCTGGGATTGGAGATCGTTCAATATCAAGATGTTTCTGATGTGAACAACCGACCAGGACATGTGAGGGTTGTTAGGACACCTTTTGTGTTTTTTAGGCAGTGAGTTTTTTATAGTTTTATGTTGTAATCAATCTGTTATATTGTAGTATCTTTGAGTTTTGGCAAACATCGTCTTAAAATTTAGTTTACAAAGTTAAATAAGGTTAGATATAATGTGTAAATGATATTTTAATAAAGATGAATGTTTCAGCTCAATGATCCGCTCTTTTATGAAAAACATGTGCATCAACTTTTTTTTCCCCATCAACATCTTTTGCTACGGATTCAGCCACAACCGTGCCATCTACGACTTTTTTGCCAAAACCCTTGTGATCCAACGAAGACCGGTCTAAGCTATTAGCTACATTTGTCAATACTTCTTTTATGATATGATAGTTCTTAACATTAAGTCGATATTAACTAGTTATCTGTGATTTTTAATATTATTCATGATATTAGGTTGTTCAAAAAATTCTGCGCCACCGAACCTCGCAATTTGCTTTGAGGAATTGCTCAGAATTTTTTGAACAAGCTAGTACTTGGTTTATCTTTATGGATTGTGTAGTTTGACGTGTTTTAAATATGCCATTTTAATGTTATGCCGTGTATATGACATATTTAAAGCACTGTCTACAAACATGACTTATTTATTGTACATAAATACATATATATATATATCTTTGTATATGATAACATGATGTCTTTGAGATCAACGCACGCAAAACGGCAGTTAAACAAAAATGAGGTATATGAAAACAAATATCGACTGGTCGAAAGGATTGAGCACAATCATAGTATTGCCTTTTCACTGTGTATGGAGTCGGCCAGTCGTGGTGCTATCGAGGACGCGATTATCACCGGCTCCGAATGCACCGAATGATTCGATTTGGCACTGTAATAACTGAATCTTTAAGGTTAATGTGCTATGGAAGGGCGGAGAGTATAGTTTAAAGCTTTGTATTATATCTTGAGGTAGGGAAAATTAAGGTAGGCTTGGGTGGGGTAGAAAAGGTAAAGTAGGGTAAGGTAAAATAGAGTGGGATAGGGTAGCGTAGTGGAAGCGTAGGGTAGGGTACAGTCAGTTAGCCTTGAGTAAGGCTTAGTAGGGTAAGTCAAAGTAAAATTCAAAATTTTAGCATGATCCACCCCTTCCCTTTTTTTTTCAAAAACTGACGTATCTTACCCTGCCCTGTCACCACTGGTCTTATTATTTCCTTGCCCTATCCCAATCTTATAGCATTTTTCTTCTACCCTACCCAATCTTCATAAGGGGGAGGGGAAGGCAAAAATTTTCGAAATTGGCTTGGAATAAGGTATGGCATGGTAAGGATAGAACTAGGCAAATTGAAGCTTTGGTGAGGGCTTGGCATTGGCTATTCTACTCTTTCTACTGTACCCTACCCACCCAATCTTAACCTGCCCTCCCCCCTACCCTACCTTACAGTGTCTTACTCTATCTTATCCTATCTTACTATACTCTACCCTACCCTACTTTACCTTACCCTACCCACCCAACCTTAAACTGCCCTCCTCCTGTCCTGCCCAACCTTACAGTGTCCTACCCTATCTTATCCTAGCCTACTTTACCCTACCCAACCCAACCTTACCCTACCTTTCCCTACCCTACCTTAATTTACCGACTTTTTTAGGTAATAAAAAGACAGTTCTAACCAAAAATGGCAACTCACGCGCTCTGTTCCATCCGCAACCCAAAGTTCTTGCGATTGTTGCACTGGGAGTCGCGCCTATTGTTGTTGTTGGTCTTGACCGAATGCATTCGGAACGACGTGTAATCCTCAATCTCCTTCCAATTCCGTTCGCAAAACTCACGCCACAACGCGCGGATCACGTGCATCACCACCAGTTCGCCAGCGTGATTCGCCATCAACCTTAACGTGAAGATGCCATCCGTTTTCAGGAACTCGGACACGAACTTGTGAAGCAGATACGTGTTGGGCAGGACACCAAGCTCTTTGCAATCCACCGAATCACGTTGATTCGAGGTGGTCGAGGTGGAGAACATCTTGGCACGGCGCTTCTTGTCATTGGATTCGGCGATTTGCATGTATTTGAGGACGTAATCCACCTTTTCTGATTGGAAACAACAGTTTGTTAGCCAGAAGACGGAGGAACATCTGGAAATATTGACGTAGAGCAAAAGGTATAATCAATATTGAGGTATGGGAGGGGGGGGGCAAGTATTGAAAAATGCTAGAACTTGAACTAAAGTTATGGCCAAAAAACAGAGTGAAGACTAGGGCCAGGACTAAAATTAACACTAGAAGTAGGACTAGAACTAAATAAACTGTTTTGAAAAGTAAACTGAGCTTTTTAGGTAACAAATATATTCTAATCAGAGTCGGGCGCTGAGGGAGGGAGGGGGGTGGACGAGAAGAGGGGGGGGAACCCCCCCCCCAGAAAAAAATTTCCGAAAAAAAAGTTGAACGTGTCCCCCCCCTGTTGCTTTAGGTTACAAATTTAATTTAAAATCTTAAAATTATCATTTTAGGTAACAAATTTATTTTAAAAACCAAAAAAAGTTTCAAAAAAGCCATTGGTTTCCAAGCGGAATCGAACTTTTTTGTATTTTCGACTTTTTCAACTGGTCATAACTGTGACAAAAAATGATATCAAATTAAAATTTATGACATTAAGACAATTTTTTGTGCTCTTCAAAATGTAATCATCAAATTTCGTCAAAACATTTTTTTTAATTTAAAAATCTATTTTTTTGTGAAAATAATGACCACCTTGCCATTTTTTTAAAAATCTACCTCCAACACTGCCATTTCAGCCTAAACTCCAACCAAAAAACTTCAAAAAACTTACGTAGTAATGATGGCGAGTACCAAATACCAGCACCAAAAGAAGGCGAACACCTTTTCATTGATAATATTGATTAACAGTGCACATTGTACCGTATACCTATTGGTGTTGGCCAGATATCGTACCTCAAAGTCACATAACGTAACTCGCGGGAAATGACCACTCTCACTCCACGGTTGACCATGCCAGAGGTCTGAGAGTACTTGAAAGCCGAAGAGTAGGTACTCGTCGGATTTTAGTGCTGCGTTTAATAGCATGAACTGGATGAGGATGTTCAGAGTGTAGCACATTTTGATGAAAATGTAGAGAAATGTGACGTAGTGGCCGTTTAGTAACCTAAAAATAAAGTTCGTTTGATCAGGTTTTAGCAATTTTAGAGCTTGGATTTAGGCTAGGGTTCGGGCTAAAACTAGGGCTAGCGCTAAGGCTAAGGCTAGAACTAGGGTTAGGGCTAAGGCTGCGGATAAGGCTGAAGCTAAGGCTGAGCCCACTCTAAAAGCCAAGCCTTTAAACATGACCTTCAAACTTTGGCTGATCATAAATCTAAGCGTAAGCTTAAGCCTAAGCTTAACGATAGGGCTAAACCTAAGCTAAAGCCAAAACTGAGACATAAGTTAATGCCTAAGTCTAAGCTGAAGCAGAACTCAAAGCCCAACAACCCTAGACCTAGATACAAGCCTAAGGTAAGGTCTTAGCTGAAGTATAAGTCTAACCCTAAACTTAAGCCTAGGCATAGCAATAAGCCTTAAGCTAAGCCTATGCTAAAGCCTAAGCCTAAAGCTAAGACTAAGCCTAAGGATAAGCTTAAGCGTAAGCGTAAGCGTAAGCGTAAGCGTAAGCGTAAGCCTAAGCCTAAGCCTAAGCCTAAGCCTAAGCCTAAGCCTAAGCCTAAGCCTAAGCCTAAGCCTAAGCCTAAGCCTAAGTCTAAGCCTAAGCCTAAGCCTAAGCCTAATCCTAAGACCAAGCCTAAGCTTGTGCCTGAGCGTGAACCTAAACCTAATTTCTAAGCCAAAGCATTAGTCTAAGCTCAATATTATCAAAATCTCTCACCGTGTGCATTTAAATCGACCAAAAACACTAGAAGCCGGATGTGGCGTGACCAATGGATCCTGTAGGTCAAGTACATCAACAACCGACGCACTTATGGCTTCCAGTATCTTTTCCTTCTCTACTGGCTCGATCACCGTCCTGGCATCACAAGCCGAAGCCACGATATTCTGAATATTCAAACCCGTCTGCCAATTCAACAAACGCCACATTATGCATGGCAAGGAGAACATCAAAGCTTCGGCTATCAAAATAAAGGGTACCCATTGGTAATAGCCGATTTGGCGGTCTGAAAAATGATTTTTAAAATTTTTTACAATTTTTTTTGAAATTTTAAAATTCAAAAAAAAATTTTGTTTTGTAAAGAAAGTTCTTGCCATTTTTTGTTTTGTAAAGAAAGTTTTTGCTGTTTTTTGTTGTGTAAAGAAAGTTCTTGCTATTTTTTTGTTTTGTGAAAAAAAGTTGTTGCCATTTTTTCTGTTTGCACGGTGCAAAAAGAAAAGGAAATTTACTGCACAGTGCAACCAAAAAAGCGTTGCACAGTGCAACGTGAAAAAGACTGCACAGTGGAATTAAAAAACACTGCACGGTGCAGTCAAAAAAATTTTTTGCATGGTGCTGTCGCTTAGTTAACTGTTTTTTTTTGAAATTTAGTAATAAATGGCACTTTTTAAGAATTTTCATAACTATGTAACAAAAATTCTGTTGTGGCTTTATTACCTATAAAAATTATATTGTTATAGACTCTTTCGTCTCGGGGGATCTGGAATAAAACCAATTTTTATCGTCGGACACTGCTTTTAATGATTAGGTATAAAACAGTTGAGTTATAGAGGTTGGAAGCAATCTAAAAAGTTTAGGAAAGGGCATAAAATTTTAAATTCCAAAAAATGAAAATTCCAAAATTAAAAAACAATAATAACAAAAAATGGCAAGAACTTTCTTTACAAAACAAAAAATGGCAAGAACTTTCTTTATAAAACACAAAATAGCAAGAACTTTCTTTACAAAATAAAAAATGACGAGAACTTTCTTTACAAAACACAAAATGGCAAGAATTTTCTTTCCAAGGCAAGAAATAGCAAAAACGTTCTTTACAAGACAAAAAATGGCAAGAACTTTCTTTAAAAACCAAAAATGGCAAGAATTTTCTTTACAAAACAAAAAATGGCAAGAACTTCTTTTACAAAACAAAAATGGCAAGAACTTTCTTTACAAAACAAAAAATGGCAAGAACTTTCTTTACAAAACAAAAAATGGCAAGAACTTTCTTTACAACACAAATAGTGGCAAGAACTTTCTTTAGAAAACAAAAAATAACAGAAATTTTTAAAATTCTAAAACTTCCATTATAAAGCCTAAAAATTTCAAAAAAAATCAAAAATAAACCTACTCTCCCTAGTCTGATGATCATCCGGTATATTCTCATACATGGGTATGAAGTAGGTATTCTGAATCCAGCAGTAGCTCTCGATGTACTCCTCCATGGACTCGCGCGAATGCGGATTCACCCAGCACTCAATCGGCGTTCCGCCGTACTGTTTAGCACTAATAATCAAACAAGCCACCGCCAGCATGATGGGCGTGTAGTAGTAGTTGAGGCGGTCCACAAAGTCGTCGTCGCCGCGCAACCGCAGCGACTGAATAAAGGACCGGGCCAAGGTCGCATGGAAAAACATGTCAGAGTGGCGACCCGGGTGCAGCGCTTCGTCGCCGCTGAAAAAAGAAATTTTAAAAATTAAAAAAAATTTAAAAAATCAAAAAAAATTTCAATTTTCAAGAAATTTTTTTAATTCAAAAAAATTTTTTTTTTACTTTAGTAGGTAAGGTAAAGAAAGGCAATGTTAAAGCATGGCAAAGGTAGAACAGAGTAAATGTATACCTATACCATAACAAGGGTAGGGCATGTTATTACCATGACAAGGGTAGGGCATAACAAGGGTAGGGCATAAAAAAGTAAGGCAAGGAAAGGGCATAGCAAGGGCAGGGTATGACAAGTAGGGCATGACAAGGGTAGAGCATTATAAGAGTAGGGCAATGCAAGGAAAAGGCACGACAAGGGTAGGACCTGGCAAGAGTAAGGCAAAAAAAAGGGTAGGGCATGACAAGAGCAGAGCATGACAAAGGTAAGGCATGACAAGAGTAGGACATGACAAGAGTAGGGCATTACAAGAGTAGGGCATTACAAGGTAGGGCATCGTAAGGGTAGAGCATGATAAGAGTAGGGCATGACAAAAGTAACGCATGATAAGGGTAAAGCATGACAAAGGTAAGGCATGACAAAATCATGGCATAACAAAGGAAAGACATGAGAAAGGTAGGGCATGGCAATCTTAAGGCATGGCAAGGGTAGGGCATGACAAGGCAAGGCAGGGAAGTGGGTCTTTGTCCTAATCTTATTCAATTCTTATCCTGCCCTTACTTTAGGAGATTTTATGCTCTAGCCAAATGTTCAGCATGCCCAGCCCTATCCTTAAACTAACCATGCCATATCACCTTATCTCAAGCTGATTCTAGAAATACACGCCCCCTCCCCCTGTTGACAAACTTGCCCCTCTCTTTCACCCCTCCCTCCTCCCACCTCCCCCCCCCCAAATCAAAAATAATTTTTTTTAAAAAATTGCTTAACATCTCCATTTTTACTATACCACTTTACTGTGTTTCGAACTCACCCCGCTGTTTACAATAAGCGATATGAATAGCTAAACATGTGTAATAAATCCACTTAAGAAAGTCGGGGAGGGGGAAATAAGGATAAGTCCTGCGGCAAAATGTCCCGTTTTTTCAAGTTTTTCCCACCCCGGTTGTCGCATTTATTATACATACGTACTCATGTTTTTAAAAGAAAAAAAAACTGACGAGAATCGGCCGAAAAATCATGAATTGACAATTTTTTAAGCCTTACCCTACCCTACTCTAACCAAGATTGTTTTACCCCACCCCCTATTGGCAAGAACTTTTTTTTACCCCTACCCTCCATTTTCACGTTTTTTTGCACCACCCTACCGGCAAAAAAAATTTTCGTTTACTCCGCCTTTCCCCTTTTAACTGTTTTTACTTCTAAACCTAAGCCCTACTTTCACTTCCCCTCTTTTTACCCCACCCAATATTTTCATCTTCATCTCATTTTATAAGTAGCCCTATCCTGCGTTACAATACATGCTACCCTACCCTACGATCATTGACCCTACTCTGAACCTGGCAATCGGGCCTGCGAATCGAGTTAAGCCGAGCCAAGAAAATATTGAAACAAACCTGGGCCAGGCCCTGATTTTTCAGCCTGGCCTGTTGCCAAATCTACCTTACCTTGGGGAAGGTAAGGTAGATTTGACAACAGGCCTAAAGATATTACCCTAACCTATTTTAACACAACTTAACCTGTCCTACCTTACCCTACCCTACCACACATTCATCTACTTCACCGAACCCAACCATCACGCTATACATTACCCCGTCCCAATGTTGCAAGCCCCCTTGAACATCCCCTAAGCGGCTTTAGTAACTTTTGGCCAGACGTGGCCGAAGGAAAAATCGGTAAAACGGCCGGAAATGCCTTTGGAACCCATTTAACGACATAATTTTAATTTCTTGGGAAATTACCTTCCAGTCATTCATACAAAGTTTCGAAATAAGTTTGGGAATAAGGTTGGAGAGTGGTCGAGAAGACAATGCAAGCTTGGCTACAACCTATAATATCAAAAAGTGTTACCTAAATACTATATGTAGTAGAAAAAAAATATAAGGGTAATGTAGACGGGAATAGACCAATGAGAGTAATTTTAAGTGGGTTTTGTGTTAGGCTCCTTAGAATCCCAAAATCGCTAGCCCTAGCCTTAGCCCTAGCCTAGTGCCCTAACCCTGGCCTTAGCCCTAGCCCAGAGCCCTAGACCAGAATCCCAGTCCTAGCCCTAGCCCTAGTCTTAACCTTAACTCTAACCTTATCCCTACAGCAAGTTCCAGCCTGAGCTTCACCCTTAAATTACTCTACCCTAGCCATAACTTATTTTTTCTTTTGCCCATACCCTAAGCTTACATTAGCCAAACAAAAACTTTAATTCCACTGGCCCGCGCCCAGAAAGGCCCCTCACACTACCCTAAATTCAAGCGTCAGAAAAGTCTCAGTTCTAGCCCTAACCCAGAGCCCTAGCCCAGAGCCCTAGCCCAGAGTCCTAGCCCAGAGCCCTAGTTCAGAGCCCTAGCCCAGAGCCCTAGCTCTAGCTTTAGTCTAGCCCTAACCATAACTTAGTTTTTTGCCGGCCTAGCCAAAAAAAACTTTAATTTTATCATCCCATTATTATTACGAGCAAAACGCCTAACCCTACCCAAAATGCTAAAAAACCCCACTCATCGTATAAACTGTCAACTGCAGGCCGCACAATATATATCTTTTAGCCTATTAAACCAGCTTGTACTAGAAAATGTTACCCTAGCCTGTGCTAAATGACCCTACATTACTCTACCCTGTCCTACATTGAACATGAAGAACGGACCGAATGTTAGGCCCGGCCGATCGAAAATTTTGCTCAGACCCGGCCTGGTCCAAATTTTTTTAACGTGGAAACCGGCTGAGCCGGCCCGTTCTTCATGTCTATCCTACATGACCCTACATCAGGGACGTCGTTAGGGTTTTTCTTTGGGGGGTGGAACCCAAAAACATTTTTTTTTCGTTTTTTCACGTACAGGTACCTGTACATTTTTTTCAGATCGGCTCTGGGGGGGAGTCTCCCCGAACCCCCACAAACGTCCGTGCCCTACATTACTTTTCCCTACCCTACTTTAAGTCAATAAAAAAGGTCTGAAAATGCCTACAAAAGGCCTAAAAACAAAAAATTTTATCTAAAAATGTAGCCCATTTCACAACAATATTACCCACTTTACCGCCAACTTGAGGAGTCGTGCCTTTTCTTGTCCTCAACTTGTTTAAAACTATATCGCGTGTGGAATTAAAATTAGCCAAATTCGAATTAACATAACCCCCCTATTCGGCCGCGTTATTTACAATCTGGGGATTGTTTTGGCAGCGTTTTTGGTTTATTAAATTGCAGTTTGGCTAAAAACGACCCAAAATTTGAGCAGTCGGCTGGAAATAATCCATAAATTTAAACAAAACTTAAGGTTTCGTAAGTTTAGGCAGGGGTAATGAGCTTATGAGGAAGAGAAGTGAGCAATGAGGAAGAAAAATAAAGATCAGGGGGTATGGTAATGGATTTTAAGGTAAGTAAAAAGTAGAGTAAGGTAAGTTCGAGTAAGATAAGGTAGGGTACGGTGTGTTAGGATAAGGTAATGTAGAGTACGATATGTTAGATAGGGTCGAGTAGGGTAGGGTAAGTTAGAGTAGGGTACAGTAGGGTACGTTAACATGAAGTATAAGGTAGGGTAGGGTAGGGTAAGGTAGGGTACTTGCGTTTTACAAAAAAAAATTTGAACCCCTACCCCTTTAATATTCCAAATATAAATCACCCCGCCCAGCCACAATATTTTTATAACCCAAAAAAATCTTTTTCATCGTATAACTTGTCACTTGCAAACTGCACAACTAAAACTTTTAAGTTTAATAGCAAAAACTTTCTTTACAGAAAAAAGTAGCAAGAACTTTCTTTACAAATCGAAAAATGGCAAGAACTTTCCTTACAGAACAAAAAATTGCAATAACTTTCTTTACAAAGCACAAAATTGCAAGAACTTTCTTTACAGGTCGAAAAATGGCAAGAACTTTTTTAAAACGCCAAAATTTGAAAAAATTTATTAAAATTCGGCCGAAAACCGGTCGAAAAAACGTAAAACAGCGCCAAAATGGGATTACCGCGAAAGTTATTCCGAAACCGCCCCGAAAACTATATTTATATCAGTCCAATTAGAAGGTGATGATATTCTACGCAAACCCATTAGGACCAGAGCTGGTGGGAGTAATAACCAGTGTTACATTTATATAAATTGGCGTTTGAAACATTGACACATTATACTTGGTTGGGAGAGTTGAACTTTGAGTAGACAAAAGTTATATTTATCGTATAAGTTGTTACCCGCAGGCTGCAGAATTCAGAAATGGCTTTTTTAAAGCGTAAATAGCAAGAAATTTCTTTACAAATCATAAAATGGCAAGAACTTTCTTTACAAATCATAAAATGGCAAGAAGTTTCTTTACAAAGCAGAAAACAACCAGAACTTTCTTTAAAAGACATAAAATGGCAAGAACACCTTCCCCTCCCCTCACCATTCCTCTACACGTTAACCTTTGCCCTTTATTAAACTATATCTCTTCATCACCCCTTCTTTTAACCTCCCTCTACCCATCGCCTTCTTTTTTCCTTTACCCTACCCCTTTTCCTCCCTACTTTCATTTCTTACCATAAAAACCCGTACCCAATCATAAAACGTATAACATGTCACCCGCAAGTCGCACAATAAAGCCTTGACTTACGTAAACGCCTGTGTCCACATTAACGGTCCCAACGATCGATTTCGGCCGACGGTCGATTTTCAAAGCCGTTTTTTCATTCGCTGAAAAAAATTCATTTAAATTAAGTTTTAAGCCAAGCCCAGCTATTTGGGCCGCATTTCCCAGCGCCGTTCCCATGAAGTAATATGCAATAATATGGACCTCACGGCACGGTGTATATTCGAACAAATTATGTCATTTAGTGTTATATGACTTGTCCTAGCCTTGTCCTGGTTTTACCCTACCTTACCTTACCTTACCCTACCCTACCCTACCTAATCCTACCCTACCCTACCCTACCCTACCCTACCCTACCCTACCCTACCCTACCCTACCCTACCCTACCCTACCCTACCTAACCATACCATACCATACCATACCATACCATACCCTACCCTACTTTATCTTACCCTACCCTGCTGTCAATTACATCATGCCCTACCATAGAGCATGCTCTGGTCCTAATTTTACCTTACCCTGCCATAGCCATTATATATCTTTTCTTTAGTCATACCCTACCCTAACATACCCTATCCGACTCAACCCTTCACCTACTCTAGCCGTAGCGCATCTTTTGTCTAGCCATACCCTAAGCTACACTACACTTGATCTACCCTAGTCAAGCCTTACTTTCCTCTAGCTATACCCTAGCCTATTCTACTCTTAACCCACCCTAGCCGAAACCTTGCCTTTCTCTTGCCATACCCTAGCCTATTCTGCCCTTAACCTACCTTACCCATGCCTTGCCTTTCTCTAGCCATACCCTAGCCTATTGTACCCTTAACCTACCTTACCCATGCCTTACCTTTCACTAACATAACCTAGCCAAGCTTTGCCCTTCTCTAGCCATACCCTAGCCAAGTCTTACCTTTCTCTAGCTATACCCAAACCTATTCTACCCTTAACTTACCTTAACCATGCTTTACCTTTCACTAACCATACCTAGCCCTAACCAAAAAAACCAAAAATCTAATTTCACCCGCCCACGCCCATCAATAAAACTTTTAACAACTCAAACCTAACAAAATAAAGCCGCGGCCTCATTCTTGTACATGTACACAGAGTTACAATTGTAAAATGTTGTTTACGTGCATTGTCATGGAAATGAATAAAACATGTTTAAAATAACGCAAGTAAAATATTTTCCCATAATTACTTCCCAGGGACCGCGGTAAATACTAAAAAAGCAAAAAAAAACACAGCGACGTTCAGGTTAAAGAGTACAATGTTGTCAGGTTGGGAGAGTTAGGTTGGAAATTTCAAAAAATCATGAAATGGCAAAAACTTTGTTTACAGTAAAAAAATTTAAAATTAAAAAAAAGCTTGATTTGAAACTGATTAGTTATGGCTTCAGCTAAAGTTTAAGCTTAGTATAACTTTATCTTTCGACATAAGTTTAGACCTAATGTTCAGCTTAGGCTTAAGCTTAGCTTTTGGCCTAGGCTTGGACTTAACCTTTGGCTTTGACTTTAAACCTCAAGTTAAAGCTAGGCTTAAAATTAGGCTTAAGTTTAGACATAAACATATGATTTAGCTTAAACTTTAAAATTAAAATTAGGCTAAAGCTAAGGTTAAGGCTAAAGCTAAGGCTGAGGCTAAGGCTAAGGCTAAGGTTAAGGCTAAGGCTAAGGCTAAGGCTAAGGCTAAAACTAAGGCCAAAACTAAAGCTAAGAATAAAGCTAAGGCTGAAACTAAGGCTAAGGTAAGCTAGACTTAGTTTTTATAAATCCAAGTTTAAGCATAGTAAAGTTAGACCTAGCGAACCTAGGCTTAATAAGCTTTCCAATGCAGAGTAGAGCTTACAACAAGTTACGTCGCCGTACTCGCAGTAATTTGTTGGGTCGTTTTACACCGGGGCAAGTATTATATAAACCGTAAAAATTACATAAGAAAAAGTTGCGCAATACGGTTTCTTGCTATTTCTCTAAGGCTATCGTTATGTCAGCGATATTAAACATGCAAAAGTGTAAGCAATTTCTTACTGAAAAAGGCTATTGTCTTAGGTTTAGACTTGAGCGTAAACTTAGACGTAGGCTTAAATTTAAGCTGGGACTTAGTCTTATACTTAAGCTTAATCAGTAAAACATTAGAATAAGTTTAACGTTTTCTTACAATTGTTAGGCTTAAACTATTCACAAACAAAGCCTTAGGTCCATTTGACATCATAATATAATTCTTTCACCTATTTATTCACAAACATGTTTACTTACAAGCCCTCAAACCCATTATCTCAATTTTCACCTTACTAAGGGTAGAAATCAGGATTGGACACATGGCAGGGCACGGAACTGAAATGCCTTGTATTGGGCAGTGCGTAGCAGGACACAGGGCAAGACACAAAAAATCGTCAATGTCCGCCCCTGTGTTAATTCCCTGCCCCGTGTTAATATCCTGCCCTAAGTCAAGCCCCTCTTCCCAATTTCGATGACATGCCTTGAGTCAATCCCCTGCCCAATGCCAACGCCCTGCCTAGTGTGAAAACTCTGCTTTATGACAAGGCCCTGCCTTGTGTCAAAGCCCTGCTCAATGTCAACATCCTGCCTTGTGTCAATGCCCTGCCCTGCATCGATCCCCTGCCCCGCGTCAATTCCCTGCCCCGTGTCAACACCCTGCCTTGTGTCCATACCCTGCCCCGTGTCAATCCCCTGCCCAATGTCAACGCTCTGCCCTCTGTCCAAGCCCAGTACAAACCCATAACACACTCGTCGTGCACTTGCAAACATAGCCTTACTGAGTGACAGAATGAGTGTGGCGAGTTAATTGGCTACCTTTTCTTCATAAATAATAACGGCGGCCGAAGAAAAGGTGGAATAAGCAGCTTTGGGGCCGCTTACTTTAAACAAATTAACAAATTTCGAAGCCGAAACCAAAGGAAATGGCACTAAAACAGGAAATTACAGATTATCAGCTATGTGATTTGGTAACTTGAGATTATCAGCTATACTACTTGAAATTTTCAAATTGTAACCTATATTGGTAACCTAAGATTAACAGCTACATATATGATTTGGTAACAGAACATTATCAGAAGGTCTGTACACAACGGGCTTTTAAGACTGAGCCTGGGTTTTTAAGCCTGGCCCGGCCTAAATTTTGGTCAAGGCTGGCCTGGCATGGCCCGTTACCTATTTTAGCTATCTTATTTGGCTAGTAACTTACGATTATCAGTAGATTTGTAAAAAGCCCCGCCATTGATTTAAGCCCTAGTAAACATGGAGAACGAGCCGAGTTTAACCCAAATTTTGGTCGAGCTGGGCCTTGGAATGCCAGAAAAGACCCGCCCGGCCCCAAAAGCCCAACCCGGCCCCAAAAGCATAACCCGGCCCGAAAAGCCCAACCCGGCCCGAAAAGCCCGGCCCGTTTCCACGTAAAAAACTCGGGCCGGCCCTAAGCAAAACTTAGATCGGGCCAGGCTTGAAAATTGGGCCCGACCCGGCTCGTTCCTCATGTCTAGCCTTAGCCCTCAAGCCCACATGTGTCCGAGGCAGAGCCAGGATCGGGCCAGGCCGAGTGAGCCCCTTTTTAGGTCTAATTATCAGCTATGTCACTTGGAATTTTAAAATTATCACCTTTTTATTTTTGTGATAAGATTACTAGGCATATATTTTTGGATTCCAAGATTATCACCTTCATGTTATCATTACTCTGAGCTTAATAAGTGTTTTCATAACTTTTTAAATTTAAAAATAACTTCCTATGATTTAGAAAGCTTAATTCTAGTATTAGCTCAAGCCAAGTATTAACACATACAATAGTAAACACTTTAATTAAAAAACAAGTTTTTATCTATTTAAAGTATCTACATTAACATACCTTAAGCTTCCGGCTTACAGTAAGATAGCAAAAGAATACAAAATCTAAGCTTAGAATGACAAATTATAGTCTTAGTCCTAGCCCTAGCCATAATACTAGCCTACTTTCCCTCTTTCGCAACTTTTGTTACCAACTTCAATACCTACTACAATATACCTCTTTAACCTAAAAAACGCAGTAATTTTAAAAAGAAAACCACAATCTTTTTTCCCACCAGCCCATCCTCTCCTCACCCCTCATCTTCTCCTTATGTATAATATAAACGAACCGTGCCGTGAACGTAACGCCGACTACAAAAAAAAACCGACTGGTCCCACGGCTCTCGACAGAAGAACATTTTCGAGAACCTGCAAAAATTCCTCAAGTCCTGTAATTAACCATTCCAACGTGCTCGAAGAAAACGGTTTTTAAAAAGGTGTTACGGGCCTGGGTTTTGGAAATGAAGCGGAGGATTTGTAGCCAATTGTCACATCTGTGTGCTCTAAAACACTAAAAAATGAAAATATATTAAAAATTTTAAAAAACAAAGTAAGATTCAACAAAAACCGAACAATTTACCACGACTTTACTAGCAAAATACGTTTTCTCATCACAAAAATACCTAAAAACAAATTTATCTCAATTTTGGTACAAAAAGCCTCCGCAGCCTGCACGAACAGCTCCCAACTCGGCCGCACGCTTCAAGCCAAGATCGTTCTCTTTGAAGAATTTTCGGCCGAAACTAATGACCAAAACTGGATCAAAAGAAGATACCAAGACGTAATAACACTGTAATACGTTGGTAAAATGATAAATACAATGTAAACAACATGATCAATGTTAAAAAAATGGTTAAATGTAAGTTATTTCGTTTGTTTTTTTGTGATTTTAGGCTTCGAATAGAGAGAAGATGAATAAGTTAATGGAAGAGAGGGGAACTAGATAGTTTTTATGTGATAGGCTTGGGGAATGTTGTTAGCTAGCTCTTGAAAGGTTTTCAAGGTTTTGAAGAGCTATTTTGAGTTGAATCTAATATATTGTTGATCACACCTTGTTAGTGATTGCTAAAATTTGATAAACATCGCTTTGATTGTCGTACGATGGTGTTGAAAATGTGAAAATGTTAACTCTGTATTACTAAATTGAGTTTTGATTAGGTTTTTTCTTGTCTCAGGTCTGTTTTCAGCTTTTTTTGAAATTATGGATATCAATAGCATGGATAATATAATTTTGATTAATTTTTGAGTTTTTAGGCAGACCGTTGGAATATTCTTTTGGTAACAGCTAAATGGGACTCTTAGCGAGATTGTGGACGTTAGTTCGGGATTTAGAAAGAACTCTTCGACCAGTAATGGAGTTGAGAAATGATGGTAGTTGCCTACTTCTTGGTTGGTGTTTCCAGCGTCGAACTCGAAGTTTATTTCTAGGATTGGTTGATATTTTGATCAAAAGAAACTCGTTTTTAAAAAATTTTTACGAGTTTTTAAAATTTCAGTTTTAAAATTTCGAAATTGTTTCAAATTTTTTAATTCTTCCAAAACTCATTCATTTATAGAAATTTTCCACCGAAACGTGCGGCCGTTCCAATGTGGTGGCTGATGCTGATGTGGCTGATCATGGGCGCCGGTTTCACCGCCTGCATTCAATGTGGTAGGAGTAATCGAAGTTCGCGAACAACTTCGGCCAAATTCACCAAGGAAGACTCATCGTCGCGACGTGTCGTCAAACGAGCCAAACGTCCCACCATCGACTCTCATAACGATGAGGAGGGCGATGAAGCGGCCGCCGATCGGCAGAGGACCTCGATGAAGCCGTTACGGTGAGTTTGTTTAAAGTTGTATGGTTTAAGCCTAGTTTAGGTTTTCAGGCTCAATATATCATTTTTCAGTTTTAAAGGGGTTTCTTAGGCATAAAGATGAATTTTAGGCTTAATAAGCATTTTTAGGCTTAAAAGTGGATTTAAGGCTTATGTGAAATAATTTAGGCTTAAAACTCTTTTAGCTTTGAAAGGGTGTTTTTAGGTTTAACTTTTCAAATTTTCATTTTTTCCGACTAATTTATTAAATTTCAGACAAATGGATCAAGAAAGTGAACTGAGCCGATCGTTGCTATCTTCGCCTACAAATCAATAACCTGCTTTTGTGATTGTACAAAGTGAACCATAAACTATTTCATTTGACTTTTGGTTCTTTTTTCAATTTTGATTTGTTTAATTAACGATTTTTTTATTTTTTAATTACTGTGTTTTTGATTTTTTCTGTTTTTTTTGTATTTTAACACGAGTTTTTTGATTTTTTATTGCACCGTGCAGTCGTTTTTTCTTGCACTCTGCCGTCTTTTTTTCATTGCACTGTGCAGTCCTTTTCTGATTGCACCGTGCAGTCTTTTTTTGATTGCACCGTGCAGTCTTTTTTTGATTGCACTGTGCAGTCATTTCTGTTTTTTTTGCACTGTGCAGTCTCTTTTTACTATTGCACTGTGCAAATAAAATGCTAATTACCAAAAACTTTTCGTATTTGTTTATAACTAAACCTTTTAAAAACAAATAAAAACCCTTTGGTTTGCAGCGAATTTCGGCGCAAATCGAGCGGATTTTTTTGAAAAAGTTGATGTTTGATCAGCGAAAAAGGTCTCGACCATAGACAGACCGAAAAGAGACGTCTAGACAAAAGAAACCTTGAAATGACCTGATCGCTCGGCTTCCGCGTAGAAATCGAAAAACCTTGGAAATAGAGTGGGTTTTGGAGAGAGCGGTTAAAGAAAAATGGGCGTTTTTAGAGATTATGGGGGTTAGGAGACTGTGTTATAGACAAATGAGAGGAATTTTTATCGTAAACAAATTGTGGTGTTGCAGAATATCAGGAGACAACCAAATAGCTGTTAAAAATGGCAGTTTTTCAAAATTTTTAAAAATTAATAAAAAAAAAAATATCACTATGGTCGATATGTTAGTAATAGTAACCTATGTAGAATTGAAAGACATACTATTTTACTTCATATTGTCAAAAGATGACTGACCAAAAAATTTTAGAAAAAAGTTACAGTATCCCAAAGTTTTGGCCCAAAATATGCGGATTTGGCAAGTTGAGTTGAAAAATTAAAAAATGAGATGTTACATATGATAGAATAGGCTTACAAACGTATCTTTGAACAAGTTGGACCCATTTGGAATTATAGTTCCTGAGTTTTGAAGAAATCACTGTAACGTAATATAAGCTAGTGTAATATAAGTAATCATATCTTTAGGCCGGTTTCATGAAAATTGATAAAAGTTTGTGAAAGTAGGTCTTTTGAGAAGTTCTTTCAAATCGTATGTTCGATTTTTTAATTTTGGTTTTTATTTTTTGAAAATTGGCATACGGTAGCTAAAACCTTGGGTTACTGTAACTTTTTTTAAGTTTTTGAAATACACTTTATCACAATATAACGTATAATTTTAAGCTCTTTATGTCTACAAAGGTTACTAGTAATAACTCAATACTTCCCACTAGTAATAGCTCTTCAAATCTGTTGCTCCTAGACAAAATATCATTGAAATCTAGGAGTCTCCAAAGAAACCGTTTCCAGCAGAGACAGAGGCTGGGAAACAGACTGGAAACATTTTTTTTTCAAGGTCCCTCGGACACAACAACAAGGCGGCTGACGAAAAACACCCCGCCAAGGTTAAAATACGGTCATTTTGACGAAAACAACCAGAGAACGTTGGGAACGCGGAGAGTGGGCAGAGAAGGGGAAATGGGCGAGCGAAAACAAGAGAGGTTGAAAGAGTGAATCAGAAAGAGGGAGAGAGCGCTGAGATAGGGGGAAAAATAACAAGGACCGTAAAAAAGTGAGAGAGCGCGTAAAAATGAGAGTGTGATTAGAGATAGTGAGAAAAATAACAAGAGAGGACCGTAAGAGCGAATGAACGTATAAAAATAAGAGAGGGGTTAGAGATAGGAACAAAAGAAACAAGAGAGCGCCGCGGAACCGAGGGATCGCGCAAACACAAGAGAGAGCGTTAGAGAAATATCGTTTAACAGCCGGAGAGCGGTTAGAAAGTGAAAAATAGTTTTGAAAAATGATAAAATTTAAGCAAAAATTAGAGGTTTTTAAAAAAATTGTAACAAAAAAGTTCAAAATTTTGGTCTAAAAATTAAAATTTTAAAGTTTTTTTTGAAAAAATAGGGGAAAAATTTGAATTTAAGGGCTTTTTATTGCCTAAAAAACAAATTTTTCCATTTTTTGTTACTTAAAAATATTTTGTTTTAATTTTTGATACCTAAAATTTTTTTTTAAAATTTTTAAAGATAAAATTATAAAAAATTTAAAAATATTTCCCTTTACTTTTCGACCGAATTGATCCCCATTCTACCTCTTTTTCGACTGCACGCTTGTAAACAAGCTAATGTCAATCAACTTGATCAATTCTGACCCAATGTAGTAGCTACACAAACAGAAGAGATAAGATAAGCTGACATGTTGCTGCGATTCGACTAGACAACCCATTTCCACTTTGAAATTTCGCTTTTCCGTCGCACAAGGTGGTCTCAAAGTTGTCTGTTTTATTAAGAGGGGGGGAGGAAGTGTTTTTTTATTTTTTTGAACTTGGAGGGGTGCGGGGGGGGGGAGAGGGAAAGGGGGTTTAAAAATTTTTTAAATGTTTTTTTATGCATTATTGCACTGTGCAGCTTTTTTGGCTTTTTTGGACCGTGCAGTCTTTTTTTCATTGCGCCGTGCAGACTTATTACTTTGCACCGTGCAGTCTCTTTTTATTGCACAGTGCAGTCTTTTTTATAGCACAGTGCAGCCTTTCTTCGATTGCACCGTGCAGTCCCTTTTACTATTGCACTATGCATTCTTTTTATTATTGCACGGTGCAGTCTCTTTTTGATTGCACAGTGCAGTCTTATTTCATTGCACCGTGCAGCTCTTTTTAATTTTTGCACCGTGCAGTCCTTTCTCGCTTGCACCGTGCTTTCTTTTTTATTGCACAGTGCAGTCTTGCTGTATGCAGAAGCCAAAACTTTAAAAAGTTTTACTTAACTTTTTCAGATTTTTGATCAAAAAGGTCAAAAAGTACATAGCACGAACACTTTTGCAGTTGTTTTTTTATTTTTGTTTTCGAAAATCATGGACTATGATATCACTTTATTCGTTCAACTTTTTGTTTATTATTTTTTTTTGAAAACGTGATATGTTTTTTGTTTTTATTTTTAACTTTATCTATTTAGTCTATACAACAAAAATCACATTTTTTAGGGCGTAGGCTTAACCTTATGCTCGTACTTTAAAACTTATTTTGTTAGACTTAGGTTTAAGCTTTTAGGCTTATGTTTTTAGGCCAAAGGTTCTGGGCTTAGGTTTCTAGGCTTGTTTTTAGTCTTAAGCTTTTAAGTTTAGGCTTATTACTCTACAATTGTTAGGCTTAAGGTTTAGATTTGGGCTTTTAGGCTTAGGCTTTTGTTGTTAGCCTTTTAGGCTTAATATACTTTTTGGGCTCGAAATTCCTGCACAGTGCAATATTATTAAAAGTAACTGCACAGTGCAGAAAAATGAAAAGGGTTTGACTGCACAGTGCAATAGTAAAAAGGGGTTGCACTGTGCAGAACACATTATGGCTCTGCACAGTGCAAGAAAGTTAAAAGTGACTGCACGGTGCAAAAAATCAAACCAGTTTAGGATATTTTTGACTAGCGAAACAATTTTTTTTGGCTAGCCAAACAAATCCTTTTGGACTAGTAAAAACATTTTTTGGCTAGTTTAACAAATATTTTTGGCTAGCAAAACAACTTTTTTTGGCTATCAAAAAAAATATTTTTGGCTAGCCAAACCAACTTTTTTGGCTAGCAAAAAACACGTCTTAAAGAGTGTTTTCAGGGGAAAGAAACAAAAAATCAAACCCAAAGAGCCAAAGGGTGTCGGAGACTTTTTTCTTTGCACGAAATATCACTACTAGCCGGGAGACGGCAGACGGTTGCACTTTTGGCGGACGTCGGTCGAATAAAAGTGTCTGCTTTCTTTTTCGCGAAAATATATAAGAGACGGTCGTGTTTCCCCAAAAAAAAATCGAGTTTGTTGATGTTTCGTGAATTCCGACATAGTTTTTTAAAAAATTTTTATCAACTTACTGGTCAATGTGTCTTGACCAGTCGATTTATGACATTTGGATTATTGATTTGCTGCAAAAGTGATGTTATGGATAACAGGTTTTGGGGTCAAGTTAGGGGGTGATAGGGGATTTGTATTGAATATGGTGGAGCTGGTGGGGGTTATAGCTTTTACAGTGCATATTCTAAGGGAGGGGTGGGGTGATAGTGGGCTATGTTTCTAGGGAAGATTAGCTGATTAAAAGGCTAAATTAGGTATGAAAATGAGGGTTTTAAATAGAAACTTTGACTAAAAATTTGATTCTCAACCTAAATCTGAGGTAGTATGGCGTATGCTTAGGTTTAAGCATAAACTTAGGGTTAAAATTTAGACTGAGGTATAGATGTAGGCTTAGCTCTAAACACATGCTTGAGTTTAGGCTGAGACACAGGCTTAGGTTTAAACATAGGCTAGATTTTAAACCAATTGCAGTTTCAGGCTTATTCTTATTGTTAGGCCTAAGCATGAGTTTAGGCTGTGGTTTGGACTTATTTTTAGGCTTAGCTAAAAGCATAAATCTGAGTTCAGGCTGAGGTCTGGGCTTATGCTTAGGTTTTAGGGTAGGGGGAGGGGTAGGGTAGGGTAGGGTAGGGTAGAGTTGGGTAGGGTAGGGTAGGGTAGGGCTGAGTTGGGTAGGGTAGGGTAGGGTAGGGTAGGGTACGGTAGGGTAGAGTTGGGTAGGGTAGGGTACGGTACGGTACGGTAGAGTACGGTACGGTAGGGTAGGGTATAGTAAGGTCGGCTATGACAAGATACAGTGTCTTTTTGTGTTATTGTGAATCACATTAGCGTCAGCTGAGTCTCACATTCGAAAGCACGCCAGAATTTTATTATACACAAAGGGGAATGAACCAGGTTGAAATGCCGCCAAAAACCGCACCTGAACTCTTGCACTCGGCATTCTTAATTAGAGTTGAAATGGGATTACACACACAGTAATGTTTGCAAATTCAATTTATACTCTTGGCTGTCGATATAATTAGCTGGAAATTACGATGTACAT